TATATATATATATATATATATATAAATATTTGAATATAAATAAAGAGATAAAAATAAGAACGAAAGGAATGAGAGCGCGTAAAGTTCGCATCTAGAAGAAATGTAGAAAAGATTTTCCTTATTACACCCGTTAGCATTGTCTGCACCTGTTAATTAGACTCGTCATGTTTTAATTGATTATCGCTTTCCAGAAGGTATCTATTGTTTTCAAGTGACAGTTGATCGCGTGTTGACGCATATATGTGATCGGCGGGCCACTTTATGTATATAATATTTGACTTATCTCGCGGAGATATTTCCATGCTTGTATTTATTTTCTATTTTCTAATAATATTAAAGTCAAAGATACAAAGGAAAGAGACATTATTTAAATATCAAACATGCGCATTTTCCTAATACAGAAATTAGGCATTATTCATTTAGGCACGCATAAATATAGATGAACCAGCGACAAGATTCTTTCGTTAAAGAATTCATAGTAAGGACAAAAAGTATTTTATTCCTTACTAATATGACAAAATAATAAACGATGTCCTACTAAAATAAAAAATTTATTTCTTTGACTTACCAGTCACCACATGCGTTGATTTTGTAGAAATATACAAGGCAGGCAAGAATAAGGGGTAGCGAAAGCGAGCAAAAGGAACTTTGATTTTAAGACGTTTTATCTACCGTTCCTTGCAAATCGAACGATGATCGTCGATACCTCGATCGCGCGCCGGCAAACACGCACGAGCCACGCGGCGACAACACACGCACTCGCGAATCGAATGTTTCTACGGGAGGAAATGCTTAAGTAGTCGAAGGTCGAAAGAAGAAATCGAGAGCCGAGAGCCGAGAGCGGAGATGCGGCACGCGGCCGATGCCATGTCGATTGTCGAATCTCATTGTCAGTACTTACGGTACTGTAGCAGGGCGCAGAACACAAGGAAAGCGAGGTATCTCACGACACTGACCGCCATCTCCTGCGGTGATTCCGTGGTTTGTGATATAACATCCAGGCTTACGCGGCGCGCGAAAAATCCGCTCGGATGTGATTCCCGTCGTGTGCGTACGATTGCAAAACGCAAAGTCATCGGGGGATATATACCGCCTGCGAGGGGGAATTTAGAAAGTAACGAAGAGTGTGTACCTTTGGCGGCGCTTACGCTTCTTCGTGCGGTCGCTTCTCTCCCGCTTTACGGCGCGGCGCGGCCGCGGCGCGCGTCGCGTCGCGGCCGTGCTCTCGTAGGTACGCGATATGCGATATGCGATATGTGACATGCAAAGCTGATTGAGTACGCTCGCGCGCTCGCGCTCGGCTGCTCGTACGGTGCACGCGAGCGATCCGCATCCGGGCTTTTAACCACTGCACATGCACATGCGGTACATACACACGTGCGTACCGCATACGTTTTTAATTTTTCCAATATTTAATTTTTATTCTATAATACCTATATGTGTATGTCAGATTTTTATACATACGTATAAAAAAATAATTTATCTAGTTGAAAAATAAACGTATGATAATGAATGCTTGTAAATCGAGATATTTAATCTTTTTATTTATTATTTATATAAATTTTCTATTCGCAACCATTCATTATTTCTTTTTATACTATATTTATGTTCGGAATTGATTTGAGAAGCTGCTTTCGAAAAAAGAAAATTATTATTTAAAAAATATGGGTTTTTTATATTTATAAGGAACGTCATTGCGGGGGAGAGGGAGAAATCTTACTGTATTTTTAAAAGCTGAAGTATAATCCTATTATATAGAGAAATGTCGCGTTTACGTTTACATATAATATTCAGTGTTTCAACTGTTTATGGACATAGTTAGGAAATCATAAAAGTATCTTTCCGCGTGCGTAATAAATTAATCCCACGAGATACAATTAGAGAGTTAATTCTCATGTATGTATCTCACGGAAATGCTTTCTGCATAACTAAATGATATGTTGCTATAAACAATGCTTTATGTAATTTGAGAAATCACTTAGAAGCGTCAGTTTAACGATTCCCGTGTGCGCGAATTACCGCTGTGCGCTGTGCTTATAAAAAATTGAGAAACATCTTTCGAATTGTGCTCTTAGGAACGTTTGCTATATTGTACAAATGCCTCAGGGTAATTTTCAAGGAATATTATCGACGACACCGGTATTGTACACACGCACCACGCACCTGTATGTATGATATGTAAATATTATCAGTTAACGCAACAGGTGACGAGCAATTTTCATGATAGCGGTAAATGTGAACGAGGGCATGTCTGTGCTACGCTTAATAGCTATCCCAAGGCTCAGCAAGGATAAATAATTATCAATGAGATTTGTTTCAACAAGGATGTCAGTTTTTATCTGCAGCGTCCTCATTCTGCATTCTTTCTTGTTTTTTTATGATTGCGATTATGTATTCATATACCGATCGTTTTCCTCGAAAGACGCAGAGTATATATGTATCGAGAAATATAAAATAAATATATAAATAAATTTTACAATAATCGTTGCATTTATTATATACCTGTATTTCTAGCATTTAGAAATAGAATCTACTCTAGCAATTCTAGCAATTATAATTTACTCAATGATCGAGAAGGAACGAGTTTTGAAAAGATCGGCTTACGATTTATTGTCAATAGCCGCCAGAGTATCTCTCATTTTTTAATTACATAATACACTGAAAATTACAATGTTACATACATATTTTACATGATAATTAACGTCGCAATAATCAGTAACAAACCAGATTGTATCGGCGTGTGTAACAATAATCTATAATATGCAATGCAGCTACACGTATGGTATAGAGTAGAGGCTTACTAACGTAAACGATTAAAATATATTTTTCTTGTATTCGCATTGTCCCGCAGACATACCATCCTGCTTTGAAGATTATTCAAAACATTTCCGAAATATCTAATCATTTCCAATTATGAAAAGAACGAGATTTATTACAATAGATAAACGATGGATAAACATCGATGACAAACGTCAATAGTAGAGTCAATGTCTTTTTTAAACAAAATTAATTAATCTCTTTTTTTTTCTCTAATTCACAATGAAAAGAAAACTGTGATGTTTCGTACAGTTTTATCTCTCTAAACAACTAACTTTGTTATGTATCATTTGCATAAATATTAATTAAAATCAATTGATATTTAATCAATTCTGTCAGGCGTTTCTTAAAATTAAAATTAGAAAAGGAAAGAATTGATTAAATTTCTGTTAACTTTAATTGATACTTACAAGGACCTGCTTCGGAGAATTCTGAACACGAAGACGTGAATCATGATCGTGTGCGCACTATTACTAACGCCAAACTCGTGTTTACACAGCACGGAAGAGCAGATTCTTCTGATTCACACGTAATCCTAATTATAATATTCTTAACAAATCTGTATATCATGTATATATAACTAACATCGTATTATTGTCTGTTAAGTTTCAACGCAGTATTTCTCAACCAGCGAGACATACTGAAAAACGACAGTTGATATAAAATATGAAAAAGCAACTTTGCCTCACAATAATTAAATATTTAACGAAAGTAAAACTCTACCATTGAAAATCTGCCACTGCAAATACGGCATTTGTTGGCGCGTAAAATCCATTGAGAATCATAACAATTGAACGGAGAACTTTGTATAAATTGTTAGAAGTTATTATTCTCGTTATAACTCACTTTGTTTCCGTCCAATTGTAGGAATTTTATTACAATGCAATAATTCGTTAACAGCGTGAGAACTATTTTTCTGAAAGATCAAACATTATGCGCGTGACACAAAACAGTCTCTTCGAATTATCACTGAAGCACATTAAATAACTACAAGTTTTGAATTCCACAAATAAAAAAGTGTTAACAATGAGAAAGAGTTAAATGCTAATCTACACTTGATCCTTGTTATATCAAGCCATCAAAAATTTAATATATAACACTCTTATTGATTAATATTTCCTGTTCTCGATGTGAAATTCTCGTCATAAAATATCCAACAAATAACATTAAGTAACAGAATATTTATTATGGACATCTCTTCTTCTTTTTCTTAACAACAATGTATGAAATAAATATTGAAACTTCACTAACTATATATTCAGTTAAAATTTAAATAAAGAATTTAATACACAACTATTAATATTCTCGGTTATTGTTACTTTATGTATAAATTTCTTGAGAATTTCTCATCGTTTACAATATATCTAAAACTTTGCCTATTTATTGTACTTACAATATATTACTTTCATTCTTTCACAAACTTTTATTGTTATTGTCAATATAATAATTGATACACTTTTGTAAACAGGTTTAATCGAAATACATAAATGAATATTATTTAATTACATTCCAGAGGATGTACAAATAGCGACGAATTATGAATGCCAGTAGTGCATTGTACAGCATTGTACATATTACGTAAGATATATACATATACGTGGAGGTATAATTTGTGTGTGTGTGTGTGTGTAAGTATAGAGATGGTTCCATACCGTAAACTGTCGAATGTTCGTGCCCTCCTCCAGACTGATAAATATAATGTCTCACCTTTTTGTGATTATTATAAATTCCAGTCACAAAACTTGATACTTAATTTGATTTAATAACACAAAATCTTTCACAAATTATAATATTGCGCGTAAATGGTAATAAAATATTGAATATAGTATATTGTCTGCCTTATATATAATTATCCCCCCCAAAATATATTAAACATTGCTCAAGAAATCTAATCTCCTTTTCAGACTGAAAAATCCTATTACTTCCATACGAGTCACACATTATCCTTATCATTCTGAATCGGAGAAAGATATGATATGAAATTTACGGTATCTGCTATCTTTGCAACTCATTGTCAGTACGTGTTATTTTAATCGTTTCACGAATGTCTACCTCATAAAGAATTGCTGATAACTATTGTATTATAATAGATTGTATCTGTATAATACAATCTGTCTTGCCTTAATTTGCGTATGTTTTTCGTGAAACGATAAAATGTTCAGCATATTCTTCACAAAAATATATGGAAACATTTTAATGCAATACATTCTTGGATGACTCGTTATACTTTCATCACATTCTCGTGTGCTTTCCATTTCTATATTCCGTGGAGCACCCGAAAAAGCATAAAGCTAATCGTTACAAAGTGGTACAGGGTGTGCCGAAAATAAAGCTATGCTAATCCATTTGACGTAAGCAACGATTTCGCAATAACAACGATCGTTTTCGCACAAGGTATATATCTCATATACATTATACATATTATTGAATTTGCCGAGTAGATTCTAGTTTGCATCTTGGCATCGGCCCACCCCGTGTTTCGTTTATTTATTGTCATAAGTTATTACTGAAGCTATACGTATATATGTATATATATATGTAAGTATTAGTATCAGTATTATTGTTCGAACAGCATTAGAACTTATTTTAGGTTTTTTTTCGTAATAATTATGATTTATAAATATCTCAAGTCCAGAAACTCTTTTCCTGGTTTAGCGAATGAAGTCATGGATAACGTTAGGCCAGTCACTACTGCGATACATAATGATAAATATATGTTTATACACTTATTCTTAATGTAATATTATTTTTCACATACTATTATAGTCACGATATTAGAGCGAAAATATAAAATTCAAAAATTAAAGATATAAGAAAAAGAAATAAATAAATATAATATTACTGATAGGTGATAGATTAAAAGAAATAGGAAAAGTAAAAAGCAAAAGATACAAGTGTAAGAATAAAACAAACAATTAATGATTTAAATATTTCAATTAGTTTAAATACGATAAGTGTTCAAGAATATATATAGTTCATATAGTAAGATATGTAATTTCACAAAATTTCACAAAGTTGTAAATAAATAAAATTCTTTTTCAATTATAATTGTGAATGTTTGCATTTTATCTCTCTCGTTTCTTATATCTTCTTCTAATAGTATATCTTGTACAAAAAATAATAATATATTATTTCGTATGTGACCACGTTGAGAGAAAGTACCTTACTTTTTTATTTGTAAGTAAATTGCCGCTGCCGCGATGCCGCTTAGGTTTCAGATCCGCTCTTTTCCCAACATTAGTCTGACAACGAATCGTTTCTCTCGACGCGGCAGTGACGCAGGCGGCACACACAACAGTTAGATGACAGTTATCGCGTGCATATCATTAATTTCAAGTGTGTTGCAAGTGTTTCCGACTTTCTATCATCGTGTGTCTTTTTTAAAATATAGCGCTCGCGGTCGATGCACCACGCGAAAAAAATGCGCGTTGCGGCAATGCGGCATCGTCATTAGATGTCATCATTAATACGAGCGTTCTAATCGTGACTGGTTATTATCCTGTCCTGCATTGTCATTGATGTTACGAAGTGAGATTATTACCGTTGCGTATACGGGGGTGTTTGGTAATAGTCGCGTACACGCGGTGAACGGGGCGATGTTCCCTATCAAAACCTAAAGTGACTTTTTCTTCTTTTCCACATTTTTGTTGGACTAGAATTAGCTAGAATTGCTTTTTAATTAATCGTTTACTTGTTAATACTAGCTACTAGAATCTTGTTGATATAAACACGTGTATAATGTCTATCGAAAAAAGATACATTGCTCACATAAAACATTTATTAAAACAAAAATTTATTTTATTATTAAAATTTGTTATAAATTTATATCTCTGAAGAGGACAATTCCCTTTCTTTTAATTGTCCATATCTCAAAAGTTATTGATGGTATCTCAACATTTATCATAATTCTTATTCGATTATAATCATTAATAATTATGTTATATATAAATATGTTACAAAAAAGTAAATCTGTTTAAAAAAAAAAAAAAAATTAAAATTCGTTCACCAGATGTGCTAATTCTCAAACACCCCAATGCATGCATAATAATAAAATCGCGCAACTAGCAAACAAATAATTTAACTCTAAATCTGGTGCTTTGTTATAACATGTGCATCAGGCTTTCATTTAAGTATTATTGTCGCACAGTAAAGCGCCCGATAAAATTAATACCTTTAAGCGCGTCTTTATACCTTAACATTTTTAATAAGTAAATTGCATCAATCGAGCATTCTCAAATATATCGATCATCACACGTATTATTATCATTAATGCAATTATAATATACAGCCACATGCCTAACTAATATATATATATATATATATATATATATATATATATATATATATATATATATATATAAATTATTTATATTTATATTAATATAGAACGTAATAACAAATAATATACGACATATGTAATATACATATAATCTTATTTGTCGACGAAGAATGCGAGACGATAGTTGCCGATACAATATATGTCGATATATATGTATATATGAATTATATCGGTATCTATATTTTTAAAAAGGTCTCGCATAAATTGACTAATTTTGTGGATCTCCCTTGGCTATAACGGAAAATCTAAACTATTCGATTCATCGGCCCACACACGTACAGGGCGTTCAACGGTATTCAATGACGCTTGTATCACGACGTTGCCATTAGCTAAATATTGTGTCATATATTCTTATTTATATCCATATTAGATTAGTTTTATTACTGGACGACCGAATCGGTTAATTTCGGGTTCGTTTATTTTTATATTGTAAATATAAAATGATTTCTATTTGTGAAGATTAGAATTTCTAAATCTAAAGGCCATTGCACGTAACAAAGTTTTACTCATAATCGTAAAGCCGGAAGAAAATAGATCAATCACACTCGATTATTCTTCGAGCTCAGGAAGATTAATCGACTGTGATTGGTCTATTTTCTTACGGCCTTACGATTATGACTAAAACTTTGTTACGTGCAGTAGTCTTAATTCATGAATTAGATTCATGAAGATTAGAATAAAATACATCTTTCCATATATATGAAATCCTCGATAGAGCTCGCAAATGCGTGGCACAAATATTTCTGCATGAAAATTAAAATAAATTTTGCAATTGCAAATGACCTTTTTTCTTAATCAGTTTAAATTTCTTTTTCAAGTATATTTATGTTTCGACATTTTTCTAAAGAAATAGTTTCAATTTTTCAAAGAATATTGTTTTGTGCACTAATTACATCTGTTACTAATACTCTTTTTTATACCCAAGTATAAAAAATGAAACTAATCGAAATTAACCAGTTCGAGAGTCTAATATTTTCAGTACCACTTGTCTGCAAAATCCGACGCAACATGTCGCATGCTTTTTACTTTGTTTCCTTGTATGTGTCCCGTTTTATCTTTGACCGCGCATGATGATGCGCGATCATAAACATATATATTTATATGTATACAATAAAAGATGCAAGCAGATTGTATATGTATATAATATACATCTGTATACGAAATACATCCAGACAATGTATAATATATACTGCTTTTTTCTCTAATTATATATCTCAATCTTATTTTGATCTCTGTATATTCACTTTCATGATTTGTCTACTTAATAACTATCATATTTTATAACAGTACTTTCATTTCGTTATCACTTTCTTACGAATACTTTCATACGTTTCAAGTTAAGCCGTTACGCGAATGTTTTGGATTTGTCTCGGATATTATGGAAATTCACGCAAAAATTTGCATTTAAAGAATTCGATTTGACGCGAACGAGAATGCGCCGATTTATGATTATTTCTTTTTGCTATCTTCTGAATAACTTGTACTTTGCTTCTAATAGATGTCAATGAAAAATTGATTAATAGCTGTCCTTGATCTTTCTTTTCTGTTTCTTTGCGATTTTTATATTCATTAACTTTACTTACATGACATCTATATAACATAGAGATATTTTTGCGAATATTTATAGGTATATTTCTTCGATGTCGAATTAATTCGTCCAGACTTCTGAATCTTTACTAGTGTACCACATTTGATCTTGTAACTCTTTTTTCTCAGTTTTATCCAATTTTCAAATTATAATATATACTATATATGTCAGAAGGTTTAAGAAATATTTAGAGAAATGAGTGTTTCAATTTAGATACATATCTAATAAATATTAAAAAATTTTCCGAATATCTACGCTGTATGAATAATATCATCGTTATCATGGATCGAATTGTACTATATCTGACTGTGCGTAAAGATGTCGCATGTCTTTGTGTGTAACTTCACTTTCGACAAACGATTTACGTCATTCGTTATATTGATTCGCGTAACTTTCCTCCTTTATTGCTATGTTTCTATTATTTCGCGTAAATAATTAAACACGTCACGTCACGGGGAATTGGGAATACCTAAAAGTTTCAGCGATTGAGCTATGTTGCGCGCACCGAGATCTCTCACGATTACCATTTTCTCAAACCTCACCGTTAATTATTGTCCACGGAGATAATTATTGTCTCGCGAAGGTTTGAATTATTGTCGTTTAGGACATATCTGGATCTCGTCGCTGATAAGTGGCATCTTGCGATACTTTTTTTTTTATAGAAGAAATTAATATTGCCAATATTGAATGTGTATAATGTGATATATCCTAATATAAACATTTCAAAAACGTTTATAAAGTTGAAGAATTTCTTAGGGCTATTGATTAAGTTTCTAATTGATTAAGCTTTCTTTTTATAAATTAAGGGAATATCTTTTTTTTAATATCCCAAATAAAGTTGAAACAGTCGATTGTTGTGTTGCAATTTTTGCAAATCTTGACTTAATAATACACTTCAGTCTCTAAATGTTTAAAAAATATAAGTTTAAACGCGGCTAATTATATATTATTATACATAAAATGCATTTTCAAGGTTTCTGCCGTTTCTGGTTTCTATGGTTTCGACTGTTTTTTTTTTACTTTCAAGAGTAAGAGTACACTCGAAGACAAATGAGGAATAGAGATAGAAAGTTTTCCCAGTTGAATTTTTTAAACCAGAAAAACGATCTTTAGACTCATTTTAGGCACGTTTGCAGCAAGTGACTTATTGTCGTTTTTTAAATAACGTAATGCATGCAATGTGCACCCACTTTCCATCATTTATCACACATTGCTGCAAGCAGCAATATAAATGCGCGTATCTGTGACAAAATAACATTAATAAATAGCGGTTCATCTGTCGATCGATCTCGCTAATTTAAAAAGCGTAGCGAGATTCCGCTTGTATTATAATTTTGACTTATTCGCGTGGCTATTCACAGCGCCATTCTCTGCACTCTTAGGTATTACGCTCAACAGAAAAATTGTATCTTCTTTCCTTCTTTTGATATTTACCGAGAATTTTAAACGTGAAAATACATTTAGAAATGTATTTTCAACATTTGGTCATCTGTATAGATTCATAAAATTCAAAATATGGTTGTTTTTTGAAATCTTATTTACATACGGCCTCAGACATGCCACAATTACACATATTCAATTAGTGATAAACTATTCTGTTAACATAAAGAACAATTTCTAATTTATTAAGTTATATGCAACGTATAATATTTTACGATTTTTTTTCGAAATTTTATAAAATTAAATTTGAAGATTAATTCAATATCATTTAGAATTAGATTAAATTGCCATTAATTTTTCTTAAAATTAAATTTTCTTTAAAGAGAAAAATAAATAATTTTAATGATTTTATCCTTTCAAGAGGAATAAAATTATTTGCGCAGCTCAAATTTGATCTTTACTAGTCTCAATTCCGCGAGTTTTATTAATGAAGATGCGGCATGTCTGAAGAGCCGGGATAGCATGGGATTGACAGCTAACGATAGTAACGATACGAATGATCTACAACCTCGGGAAAGCAGTCTGCTTTTCTCGTATCCAATTATTCTATCCAGTGATCGACCATTTTCAGTTTCACTGCTGATTCTGCACGATGTCATGCGTGTAGTCATCCGTTGCCGGTGGTTGTACGAAAGACGCGTTAACGTCCGTGGCGAATGGATTTGTTGAGTGAAATGGATTGTTCCTGTTGGTCTCTGTCGAGCCGTAGTTTATCACGGGGCCTTTACTGTCCTGTCGGGCGTACAGATGATTTTCAGCTGGTGACTGCTCGTAAGTATTCCAGTCGTCAGTGACAGTTCCGTCCCGGGACGGTTGTTTCTGGAAAAAGATGGTTATTCTTTCAATCTCATTCTTATTGCAAAAAGATATAATAAAAATACACTTTTTTCATAAGAATATATATAAATTTTCAAATTTAAGTAGACTATTAGATATATCTTGCATTATATTCCGCCAATAATGTTTGTATTTAAAAATATAAAAGTATAACAATTTGCAAGTATATGTGTGTAACAATTTTGATGTTTATTTAAGGATTAAATGCGCGATGATTTGAACGCGATGATTCTGCGATAAAGCTGATTATTATGATATTTATGATAAATAATTATTAATAATTTGAGCACTTACTATGAATTCGGATTGCATAGTTCTCGGCGGAGGTGGAACGGGCGGTTTGGTCTGGCCAAATTCATCCATGGGATTCCAGCTCTTTTGTTCTTCCAAAGTGGGATCGGCCCAAGGTTGCAACTCACCGGAGCAGAAAATGCCATAGAACGTCACTCCGAAAATGTGTACACATGCAGCTATGATGAAAACATTCCGCCAGCTGTGTGGGTCCTGTACAGAAGTTTTTAAATTTATACTAATCTTAACTTGTGCACTGTTAAATTCGTGATCGAAGAAGTATATACTCTTCGTCATACCTTCTTTTCCGTGATATTATCCACGAAGAAAGGAACCAGCAGACCAGCGATGGTGCCAATCCCGTTAGACATGCCCATTAAGATACTGGCGTATCTTGGTGCGATGTCCAGATGATTGACATTGAAACCAGAGATGGCGAAACCACTGCACGCGACACCAATCGCGAGAGCGACCGTAGCAGCGGTTCCGTTCTTGGATGTCGTCGCATGGGCCACCACTAGGAAAAAGAGCGCTTCCATACCGAAACCACCACAGTTGAAAAGCTTCCTCACATTTGTCGTTGTCATGATACCACGTTTACGGAGGTGATCCGCCAGCAAACCGCCGCAAGGTACAATCATCGTCATCAGCAAGTGTGGAAGCGACCCAATGACTCCGGTCTGTCAAAATGTTGAGATAAAAAGTATTTTATACATTTTATACTTACATTTAGATCGTAAAATAGCGTATCATTTTTAATTTTTATACAATAACGTGATATATTAAAATAAAACGTTTTACTTATCATCGTTTTATCGAGAGATTATTAATATTATTTACCTCGACAAGCGGCATGCCAAAAGACTCGTGCATGAAACGTGGTTGGAAGAGTACCAGAAGATAAAAGTTCCACGATCTACAGAAATTAGCGACAATGATGGCGTATACGGGCATCGAAGTGAGAAACTTGCGCCAGGGAGTCGTCGCTAGTGTGGGCACAGGTGCTTGCTCTTGTCCTTGTCCTTGTCCGAGCGAATCCTCGATGTAACGTAACTCGCGAGCTGAGATACAGGGATGTTTCGACGGCTTTTCGAAGGTCAACCACAACCAGAAACCATACCAAATCAAACCGCAGACACCTACGATTCATCGTTAAAAATTGCATCTACTAACACAATATTTTCTTTTGTTAGTGTTGTTGTACGAAGTAAAGTAATTTTGCTGTCGTTGCTATTACATATTCCATGTGAAAGCAATTAAACTTTGTCGTTATAATCATTAGAACATAATTTTTTCATAAAATCTGTATTGACGATTATTGATGAGCAAATTTGTTCGGAGAAAAATGCGTTTGCTTCTAAAACAGACGAGCCTAATTCTAGCAATTGTATTTTGCTATTGCGACAAACAAGAATCGATTTATTGTTACTATAAAACAATAAGTATAGTAAAACAGTTTATTATGAATAAATAAATTTAGTAGATATTCTTAATAAAGCTCCCTGTGGCTGCTCTCGAAATATTATAGTAATTTATTGTTACAACAGAGCACAAAATATTCCTTTCTCTATATGTATATGTTTGAGATTGAGAACACGCGGCGAGAGATCTCTTTACCGTAGAAGTAAAACGATGCCGTCCAGCCAAACCAGGAACTCAGGTATCCAGAAAGCGGCATACCTATCACCATTGCGGCGTACGATCCACAAAATGCTAATGTGGCCAAACGCGATCTCTCTAGAGGCGGTGCCCAATATTTCCAAATACCATGACAGGCTGGATACGTAACACCCTGAAAAAAATAAAAATCGGTTATTATTGCAACCAAATGATTAGAATATTATGGATAAAGTAAAATTTCTTCGTATAACCTTTTACTTGTCCCATTGTCAGTAACGTCGTTTAATCTCATAATTTTAATTTTATTAATTATTATATCTTATTTTAAGCTCAATTGCAACAAAGCAGTTTTTGTTTAATTAAACAAAGTTCAACATATTAACTGGAGAATGAAGTTTCAAACTAGATATATTGTCAGTTAGATATATTATAGCTGAGAGAATTGTATATAAAAAAAATAAATTCTTCATGGATGAATATTTTTTACACATATACATATAAATATTCAAACATTATCCCTTATTTTTGTTCAATTTTTCATTAAGTACTTACCTCAACCAGTCCTTTCAACACTTGCACACCCATGTCAACGATAGGGTCTACCTTTAGCGCACCGGGTACCAACAAATTCAAAAAGGAAGATATCGCGATGGCTGTGCCGAATATCTTGTTAGCAGGGTATAATGACGCGAAGAAACCACCGGGTACTTGCGTTACGAGGTAACCCCAGAAGAATGACGAATCAAGGGCGCTTTCCATGCCGACCGTCCAGTTGAACTTGACAGTGTTATTTTCGCCTTCTGTACTGTTTTTCATGACGAGCTTGGCCATGCCCATGTTACATCTCATACCGAACGAAATAATGAATCCTAAAAGAATATTAATTAGATTAGTTAAAACAATAAAAAATATATATATATTTTACCTTTATTTATATATTATATGATAATATAATATTTTCTTCTATTTCGCAAAATCATGGTGAAAGATTATCTACAGTTATACTTATTTTAAAAAGTTTAAATTTGTTATAAAAGATATACATTTTTTTTATAGTAATAGGATATGAAATAGAATAGCAAACAATTAACATAAAGTTGGAATAATCTGAAAGTTGTCTTCTAATTTATTATCCATTCTTACCTATACAAGCTAGCGTTGCAATGGTGTACCTCTTGGAAAGACATGGACATTCTGGCATGCAATAAGTATCGATATGCCGCAATGGTGGTCTCTCTGGCTCCGGAAGTGACTCGAATGAAGGCTGCGTGCTGTATCCTCTTTCATCCTCAAATCCCTTGTTGTCTTTGCTATTCTCGCACGAAGCTTCGAACTCTTCGTAACCGCCGGTATTTTTTCTGAATCTACTACAGAGAGAGTTGGTGTCCTTTAAATAAATTATCTTCTCACATTTGAATAGTAAATTTTTCAACTACTTCAACTTTCATCACTCTCTTGAAATAATCAGTTTCTTTAATTAAAGTCACATTCATGACACAATGATACAAACAAAAAAATATTTATAGTTTTATAAATATTAAATACGTTATTATAAATGTATGCAATATGTTACCCGGATAATTTCTGTGACGCTTTCGTCTTGAAGGAGTCGAAGGCTACGAGACCCGCCGCTGCAAATCTGGACATTTTTCAATTATTGGGGTTGCTTCGTGATTTTATACTATCGCCCGTGGTGTTATTTGGCAGCCCCTATAGTGTAATAATAACAAATCTAATACAATTAAGCTATTTTATATGAAAACCAAAGTATATAAAATATACATAACAAGTTCATATATTACATAATAATTTTCCAAATAAAACATGTTAAACGCAATTGTGAAGCAGAAGATAATTTAAATGTTAATATTAAACATACATTTTTAAAGATATTTTCTAAAATTAATATTGGAATTAAAAATTTTATAAGTAATTTATACGTTTTTAATATACATTTAGAAATAGCTATCGTTTTGCTGCTGCATTTCGGCCATTTACAGCTTCTTTCAGAAAGATCTGCTATGTCTATGTAGAATATATAGAGTCTACAGAACGGGCACAGGGGGAATCCGGGTAGGAGTGTTTATTTGGAGTGGTAGTCTCTCCACCCCTAATCCCCGAACTCTCGAGGGAGCATCTTCGGAGGGTAGAAAACTGTGAGAAGAAACGTTTCACCGATCGTACACTCAGGTCATATTTTTTACTTAAAGTTTGTCGGAGACGCATCTGGGTTAAACCAGAAAATTTTAATTGAATTTATTCTTAATTAAGATACAGTGTGTGTGTGTGTGTGTGTGTGTGTGTGTGTGTGTGTGTGTATGTGAAGGAAGATATAATAAACGTGGATTTTAGCGAATTGACTTGTACTTTAAATTACAAAATTAGCATTAAATTAAATTAGTTGCAAGATGTTTTAAATTTTCATACGTAAACTTTGAATATACAATTATTTAAGTGCTTAGGGCTAGAAATAGTTTTCGTATTTTTCATAAAGTGCAAATAAACTTTATTATATTTGCAAATAGTATCACACACACACACACATTGCATAAATCTTATTTTAACTTTTGTACTTAACACTTCAATATATTTTCTTATTTAAATTATAGTTTCTCACTAGCTTACATTGAAAATTAAGTATTCTTTTCGCGCTCGCGTTGTTTTGTATTGTATTTTCACTGTACAACTGTAATAGTCTCGTCGTAGAGATTATAATCTTCGTCATTGCATGATGGAGCGTGCAGCCTGCAAAAATCGTTACGGGGGTGCTGCGCCGATTGTAAAGAGGCGCATCGGAGGACAATGGCTCTCGGATATTAAAATGGCACGTGACAGATAAAAGGCACCAAAATGCACAGTACGTGTTAACGAATTAGGGTGGAATGATGAGTATATGGGACACGCTGACTCAACTTAATGGACATTGAGCGACATTCGGCACTCTCATGCTCTACGTCGTGACTTCGCGCCCCGTTTATTTTTTGCTATTAATATCTATATATGTATAATGATATGTTTGAGAAATGTAAAATATGAATTTAGATAATATTTTAACAGACACATTGTTTGTTGAAAAAGAAAAAGAATTAATATACAATTTCTTTAATGACAAGAATCATTGGATCAAAATTGTATGAATCAGAATTGTATGACGACAGAATATATTTTACACGCTTAACAGTGCAATTAATATTCTCTGATATTGTGTTTCTTTTTCTGAAACATAAAGAACAAAGTGATAAAATAAAGTAATAAAATAAATGACATAGGGAACATACAATAAGAAAAATATACTCATTTTCATGAATAAATAATAAAGGACGTTAACAGAGGAAGAATCTGGCGCGATATATTCAAAGAGAATTTTAATTAAAATAGAAACTCACAATAAGAAAAATATACTCATTTTCATGAATAAATAATAAAGGACGTTAACAGAGGAAGAATCTGGCGCGATATATTCAAAGAGAATTTTAATTAAAATAGAAACTCAATTTACAGCTAATCAATGTAAGAATGGAGCAAACGAGCGCCGACATCTCAGAGCCTTGGGCACTCGTGCAAACCAAGTCTAAATGAATTCATTATGAGAGTATAGAAAGCATTAGAAGTATTATAATATCGACGGCCAGACCAATTATCGCACTGCAGATTTCACATATCTAAAGATCACAATTGGCACTATTGGAATGCTTCGCTGACTGCTCTAATAAGCTCACAAAAGAGAACGCAAAAATTAGATATTTTCCGTGTACTACTTAAATCGCTCTAGAAATTCACAAACAAAATCACCACTTTACGATTTATCGTTAGTGCCGAATTTCTGAAATGAGAGATTTCCAGCTGGAGCAAACGCAATCAGTAGAAAATGACCAAACGGGAAATAAATGATTTTGTCACCACTTTTCTTGATTCTATTTAATCACAGTATTTCATAGAATCTTTTCCTTGATTCCAATCCAATCTAGAAATTTGTGGATAAGAATTAAATTTAAGAGATTTAAATGCAAATCTTTACTTTTGACATTAAATGAGAGAGAGTAACATTATCACTTCACTAATATCGAAATCTCACAATTGTCTTCATCACTAGTAAATGATCTCATCACCATTTAGTAGAGATTTCCAAATTTTGTTCTGTCCCGCAAAGACACAGGGTTGCACAAAAGGATTATCTCCGATTTCGTTTGCAAGCAAAATGGAGTAATAATTCGATATTGTTTATACTTAAACGAAACTTAAACAAACGGCGAATATCGGAAACAATTAAGAAAATTCGCGGGACTCACCAATAATTAAGTCCAGATACAATTACGAGCGGAGTGGGTAACGGTAGCGCGGGGTACGCGACGGAGAACGTCGTCGACGTCGCCTGACGTCGTCGTCGTCGTCGTCGTCGACGGCGGCGGCGGCGGCGGCGGCGGCAACGAAGTTGACTTCTGGCCACGGCGTCAGCGCGTCTCGACGCAGCGATGCGATTGGATCGTCGGGAACGACGCATCGATATCACTAGCCAATCACCAGCGGTCACAACCCCCTTTAGATCGACTCCAGGCGGAGCTTCCTGTGCACCCCGGCCGAAAATTTTGCAACAACAAAACGGCACGCATGGAAAAAAAGTAACGGCATTAAGGTTGATTTATTAACCGGATAACATACGCATTATCGGTATGTTGAGATTTCGCTGCGTTATTTAGGCAGTCGCGCAATTCAACTCTCTGAGAAACTGACAACCGAGTAGAGCGATTAGTCGGGTCTATTTTTCTAATAGATTTTTTAATACGGAAAGATGAGAACAAGTTCTTATACAGTTATCACATTTTTATTATCAATAAATTTTGTTAATTATTTTAAAAACTCAAGGCATGTTTACTCAAGGAATTTTTTCAAGTTTAGAAAATTATAAAGATAATATTTAAACCTAACTGTATTAAAATTAACATTCTGAAAATCTATATATTACAATCTTAGATTCTTTGATCAGTATAGATTCAAGTTTGTCGTTATTAAATTTTCGAGTTACAAACGATTAAAGATAATTTTTTCATCAATTAAATATTTGAAATACAATTATGGTATATAATAAAATTTGAGTTTTTACAATATACTCCATATTCTGTATTTGATTCATTGTGTCATCCCAAATCATCATGCAAATAAATCTTTAGAATTTAAAATAGCGATAATTCTCCGTTAAAGTCAATAATCATATCTTAATAGATTGAGATAAATGACGGAAACTTTCCAAATTTTGCCTGCGTAAACATTGACTTTAGATCTGTTTAAGTACCTAAAATTGAGATAAGTGGTTTCGCGATATCTAAAATTTCAGTTTTCTTTAATAAAATTTTCTAGGATGTGAATGCCAAGGATTAAAAAATGATTATATCGAAAATTCCATCTTTAGATTCGGTAGCCAGCTTGCATTGTTACAAACAGAGAGCGATCGGGGGGTAGACACCCTTTCCGGTGGTTGCCAGGAAATATCGATCTGCCTGGAGGGATGGATGCTGCTGTTCTCAATGGTTCGTACAATACTTTATCTTCTCTTCGAAGTCGGACGCCCTAAATAACTCGGATTTCACTATCATCCTGACGTGCCAACGAACGCCTGCGGGAATACAGCTTAATCCATAAAGGGGAATTGATTTGCCAACAAGCTCTCTTTCTCCCTCTCGTACAGGTTATTCTAACAAAAAAAATTAATGCTTTTGTATCTCTTTATGCGATAAGAACATCCAAGTCAATTTTTATTTACAGCTTCTATAAGTGAGTGAGTGAGAGAGAGAGAGAGAGAAAGAAAGGCATTTAATCTAGTCTTATCTTATTTCATTCAATCTTTTGTAAAATTTACAAAATAATCGCAATGATACAAAATAATCTTTATTTAAGCTCTTGAATAATGTATTTGTGTGCCATACGTGCCAGGATTATCACCTTTAAGATATAAGTCATACAAAATAGTTTTGTTATAAAGTCAACACTGGATAGTTTTTGATATTTTGTAATCATTACATAATATTTTTATTTTAGCGTATACATTAGTGCATTTTAAGTACACTTAATATTTCAAACAACTATTATTATTATTTTCGATTTTTATAAAAAGAAATTCATAGAAAGGGACGTGAAACAAACGGAATTTTAATAACTTTAACGTTGGCTAAAGTATATGCTATCAACATTGAATATATCATTACGCGACATATTAACGATATTATTTCATCGATGAGAGATTATCAACATTACAATCAATCAAACTCTCTCACAAATCGCTATCAAGTACCGATGCCGTGCTAATTTCATAAATGTCGTCTGGTCGTAATGTTTTCATCAACGAACGTTTGACACTCTTGCAAAGTTCCACGTATCTCAACAATCTCAACTTGAAGTCTAGGTCGAGATCATCCATATAATCGTTATAGGCATCGGTTAAAATCGAAAAGATATGTTTCTTGCGTAGACTATCATTGGATTGTAGACTATCATCGGAACGATCGGACACATCTTTCTCAAATATTTGTCGATTCTTCCTTGTAGATCCAAATCTCTTTACATTTCTTACTTGCGATATACTATTAAATTGTTGATGTACATTTCTGGCATTTCCTCTCCAAGAGTGTGATAATGATGTTTTTAAAGATTCATTACTACCGACATATACACCTCGATATTTGTTTTTGTTCCCATATTGTCCATATTCATGCCGTACTTGTTCATTTTCAAGTTGGTCTTGATTATGCACTCTCTCACAAATGCGCTTATTATCACATATCTCTTTTTGCCGTTTACACGTGAAAGATACTTTGGTCGATTGTGAAGAAATCGTTATACTTGTTCCAGAATGTTTCAAGTCGCATCGATGGGAGTTTCTATTGCAGTTTATAACGTTTCTAATTTTTTTCTTTCTATCATATCGATTGTTTTTATTTAATTGCTGCTTTTCCATATCTTCGGTTGTAGAAGTTAGCAAATCATAAGACCATGGAGAAGTTTTGATCGAGCGAAAGCTTAACAAAGCCTTACTACCATCAGTCAATTTATGGTCGCGAAACTCTATATTTTCTGCACTTCTTCTTTTTCTCTTTGTTCTACGAATTGATAAAATCACATTCGAAGATTCGCGAGAAGATATGGTATAGCCTTGTCCACAACAGTCACAAGTCGAGCATGAAGTTATGCTGTAACCCTATAGAAAATAGGTAAATTGAAAAAAACCCATTTTGAAAATTATAAATGAGGAACCTAGATAGATTTTTAATTTTCGAAGCCGGTAATGGAAACAATTAAACAATCTTAAACTCAAATATTAAGGAAGCTAAAGAAACTAAAAGAATTAAATTTTCAATGTTATAATATTTAATTAAAATACATTAACAAGAAGTATACCTGTCTCATACGTTTGCCATTTGTTTTCTTCCATCTAGTATCTTCAGAAGATTCTTCATTTCTCCAAAAAGTTTTGGTTATTTTTTTGTTATTATTTATTTTATTGTTAAACAATATCCTTCCTAGCTTTGCGCGAATCATACGCTTTATTCTGTCGACAGACTTGTCGACGGAATTGCGAAACTTTGTCATCGCGAGTATCGTTTGTGGTCGCATTTCCGTAGGATAATCATTTAGATATCTGCGAGATGTTGTCCTGTGTTTGATCGTTGTCGAAGTTACTTTACGAATACCGTTCCGTGACTTTACGTATCCGCGTCCGCGAAGCTTCGACAGTTTTTTCGATTTATTAGATTTTTGGAATTCATCTTGTTTATTGTTCATCGTGAATTCACTTGTCGTTACGAACGACCGATAGTATAGCGATGCATTGGATGTCGCACACGTCGAGTGATTTCCCACGCGTAGACATTCTCTCTCTCCTGTCGAGATACCGGAACTTCTTGAGTCTTCGTTGGATCGGAATCTTTCCTTCGATGTGGAAAATCTTTTCGGCGATGTAATAAAATTTTGCGCTCCATCTTTCACATAGAAAATTTTCTTATTTGTATTAAGAAGAACTTTATTTTCTTTCTTAGAAATAATTAAAGCATGAGTAGAAAGATTAGCTATTTCATTGCATTTATCGCTTGTTTCAATGGATATATTTTTATCATCGTCAGATGTCAACCAAACTGTTCGTGAACAACATGTATCCACATTGATTCCTTCCGATAATATCATTGATCTAGATCTAGGCTCTTGAACGGAAATCGTTAACAAATTGTTGTTTCTAGGTGATGTCTGTACCGTCTCGGAACAGCTCGTACTTGGAGCTTTCACTGCATCAAAATTATCCTGAGATGTTTCAAAAGCATAAACAATATTTTCTTTAGAAATATCATCAATGACTGTGATGTCTATAAAATTATCAGGTTGACAAGAACACGAGTTACATCCAATTTCCACTTTTGTCGAATTTAATGACTTATCATTTTCTTGCGTATCAAAGCGTTCATCGATCGCATCAATATTATTGTTTGAGAAATGATTATAATTTAATTCTACTAATTGTTTGTCATACTCGGAATTTTGTGCGAATGACGTAATACTGGTGCACGTGTTAATATTACAAACTTCATTTTCTAGATTCGATTTGTTATTCGATGAACAAATCCAATTGTGTTCGTTGGTGTCTGTAGTCTGTGAAAAACTGTCCAAATCTTTGTTACTAAAAATGTTTTCTATTTCATCGTTTGTTTCGATAAAGTTTTCACGCGATAAACACATGCAATTTCCATTGTTTACTAATTGTACGGACGTGTCAGTCTTTGTAATAGAATTACTCGACTCAAGAATTCGTTTTTTACATTTTTCCACATCGTCCTCACAATTGATTTCTGTTGAACTCAAAACTTTATAATATTCTCCATTTCTTTCTTCAGAATTATCAACGCACAACGTCATGTTAGATATGTCTTCAATAATATCTTTGCAAGAATTATTACAAGAGGAGTTCGCAAGGTTTTGAACATATTTCGAAACATTTTCAGTAATGGATGTAATCTTTTTCTCATTGTTATTTTCTGTCTCGTTTTGCAACATATCTATCGCCATTTCATCTTTTATGAAGCTTTGATCCAATTGTGAACAGCGTGTGTCAAACTTTTCAGTTTCATCATCAACACGCTTAAGTGTATCATTAAAATTCACACCATTGTCTTCATATTGATCAAAACATTTGGATTCGTTAATTTCAGTACTTGAATTTGAATTTGCTTTAGAGGACAAAATAGAGTAATCTTGTTGAATCGTACTTTTGCAGACATTCTGACAAATCGGTACTCTCGCGACAAAGAAACATTTTTTGATATTGCTAGCTTTTAACTTGAAACTAATATATCCAGGATATATTTCACAATTGAGACATAACATTTTTATCAGCTTCATATTTAATTTTTCGAGAACGCTGTTGAGACACGAGCAAACATTGTATATGCTGCTTTCGAACTTTTGTTTTATCACTATCAAGCAAGATTCGGTTAAGGATGGATCAGCTTCGAAAATTCGTTCAACCAAATTGCTCGGTTTGCAAGGCAAAGGTAAGCGAGTGACATTAAAGCTCGAAAATGTCGGACATTTATAGTCTTCTAGATATAGCTTATGAACAATTATCTTTAATTTCAAACCGTTCCGTATCTTTTTTAATTTAGTATTGCAAGGTTGCTCATTAAAAAATCTATTTATTTTATTAATGCTATTATTTTGGGATCCAGTTGCAACACATGTAGAATAATGATTCGAAGTATCTTCTCTTCGTTGAAGAAAATTTTGATTTCGATCAAGTTTCCGTTGATGTTCTCGATATTTTGATGTTGTTGGTCGCTCATTACTTCTGTCATAAACGTTTTTTGTTAATTTTGGTAAAGGCTTGACTGCCTTTTCATACTTGATTGATCCTTGTGAATTGCAGGGTACCGGGTTAAAGCCCCTATTGAATAGAATTAGACATAATTTTATTTCATCTAAACCGATAAAGAACTAAAGCATCCGCGATAAACATTTAATAAAGAAATTATAATCTTTCATCAAAGCTAGGACTTGTCAGTTAAATAAATGATCATTCAATCGCCAATACTTGGCATATTCTGTTTTAAATTTTTGGTAAAAAATCTCTCTCAACAACGTAACATACGTGAAGCAATTGCAATCCAGCAAAAAGTCCCGTTCATTGACAAAATTCCACACGTTGAAGCTTCTTAAAATATTGTCCTCGATGCCCAACGTGTCTAGCTCGCAACAAACTTTATTCAATCTATGATGCACAATGACAGAATCCAAAAAGCAGGTGATCAGATTGTCATTTATCATGCGTTTAATGATATTTCTCATCATTTCTCCCATCGTACCGACATCATATTCGGCGACTCTGTTCAGAGGATCCTTCCACATAACTATTATGTCGATGAATTTCTTGAAACATGGAAACTGCTTAACCCATCGAGAATTTGTGCTATACACGAACTCTTCCAACAAAGAACGGACTCTGTATTCCAGACTAGGCACAAAGAATGCTCGAATCTTGTCGAGATAGAAGCTATATTTCTCTAGATCGAATACTATGTCTTGGCTCGCACAATCACATAGATTTGTCTAAAATATATGACGGGACATTATGAAGAAGATAGCTATATTTTTTGCAATGTAAAAAGAAAATTGTATTACTTATTTTATATGTTTATGTAGCAAGCATCAAATTTCTTAAAATATTTACGTACAGATAAAATATTACATTTTATATTTTGCTGTACCTATTAACTATTTAGTAAGTATAAATTAAATAATTTAAGTGATAAAGAAATGTACATAACATTTCTTTTATTACCGATAATGCCTGCTCATTGCTAAATGACGTGTACAATTGATTCTCTGTCATGATAAAATAGTAATTAAAAAGAAAAGGAAAAAGAGAAAATAAACAAAAAAGCACGATTAAAATGTATGTAAAAATTATGTAACAATTTTGTGCGTATGAAACGATCTATGTATTAGTCTTTGAATAAACATTTCGATATTTAACAACGTATTACATACAACCTAGAATTGCACGTCATTACTACTTTTCTCCTTGAAGATGGGTTCAATAAAGACTAAATCAATTAATTAAATGGTTTTCCTATATTCATGGTTTTACATTTATGAAAATATGACTGACGTTCTTTCTTGCGTAATAAGCGGGGGAGGTATTTCATATTTATTAATACCATGCAATGATACCGGCTTGTAAATACGCTTATATAGATGTGCAATTATACTGGCGCTACGGGCATTACGGGCAACGCAATTATACGAGACAATTTATTGTGTTCTGTTATACTGCTTTCAGTTAAACTACCTAACGTCATTACCTCATGCCATTGCGATGCCAAAATGCAGGACTTGCTAGATATGCTAATGCGCTAAGCATTAAGAGCGACAAGCATACCTATATGTGAAATATTCCCCTAATATTTTAGGAGAGATGCATAAAGAGCAAAAAGAAATTACGCAAAAATGTATCGAATTAATTTATTCTTTAATTGAAATGTTACAGATCAACTGTAACTTTCTAAAACAGTTAGAAGATCTGATTTTTGATTGAAAAATGAAAAGATATTGTAAAGTCTGGAAATGAACGCCTTACGTCAACAAGCGGGAAAGACCAATAGAAATATATATCTCGGAAAAAATTAAATTGACTCTTGAAGCTATAAAGTCCCTTTTCTTTTTTGTATGAATAATTACAAAGTTATTCAAAGTATATATCTTGACGCGCGAGCATGCTTTTTGATAAAAAGAAAACTAGACATTATCTTCAGCTATATGCAAAAGCATATAAGTATTCTTTGCCAAAAATGCGCCTATATTAACGCCTTGTCGTCAGCCTTCGCGTATAATAAAAAAAAAGATAATTTGTACTTTTGCACTTTGCACGCAAGCTGAAACCAACACATGTGTAATATATGTAACAAATATAAGTAGTACGGTACCTACTACCTACGTCATGCGTGATACCGCAGCAACGTAACGTACGGGGGTGCAGGATATCGTGCCGTGACGAGCAGCGAAATACAAAAAGCTCTCGTCTAAGGGGGAGATCGAGATCACGAGGAGATGGTGAACGTGTGTGATGAAGAGAGGGTCGTACGAAATTCTGCGGAATAGTGCGAGACAGCCATAACCCATTCACGTAGTGGCTCTCGACGGGGATCAATACTTGTGACGCCGAGACACAGAGCGTAACAGCCCCACGCTGACTACGCACGCAGCATACGGAGCATACCGCCCCTATCGCCGAGACCGAAGAATCCTGAGATCTCCCGGAACGTTTATCTCTTCCAGGGCTCTCGGACCGGTAAGACTGGTATATCCAATTTTGTTAATTGGTAATAGAACTTAATTATTAACACAATATTTAATCGTTAATATAATATTTATATATAATCAATCTTTTTATTCCTTTATTTATTTATTTATGTATATAAGAATAGTATCATTTTTGTTTATATGGTATAAACAACTTAATACAACCGACGATTTACGTGATTATAAGCAATCAGACGTTTAAAGTGCCTACATCTTTATATTAGCTTAATTGACATTGACTCTATTAACAGTTGTGACAACGACATGTAATAAATATTAATACAATATAATATTTTTTTATAATTGCAATTGGCGTAAGCTCTTTTCTCAAAGCATGATTTGTATATGCTCTTTTTCCTTTCATAATTTCGATTAGGATTAAAATCCTAGTTATTTATAAAATTAGCGTAAATGTAACAGTAAATATGCAGACAAATAGATGTGACTCTGTATTCGCTGATCGATTCGAGATCATGTATGTAAAACTGCATTAATTGCATTGATTTGCTATCGGCTATCGCAGTTATCGTAAATAAATATCTTTGTATCCTATAGCTACAGCAATAAGTAAAGCAATATCGGAGTATATCCGGAAATCTAAACATCGCGCAATATCTCTGTATCCAAAGAACATCAAAGCATATCTACTGGATGTTAAGTATATGTGAATAGCAAGAGCTCCATCATTGATCGACCGCGCGTCGATCAATATTAAGCGTGAAATATCGTGCCAACGATAAGTATGGTTGGTCGTTTCGCACGATTCTGTTTTCGGTTACGTTATCAATTTTATGATGCGTATATACGTACAGAGCGTTATATCACGCGTAAGAAAATAAATGCAATTTTATCTGTCAGTGGAGGATAAGCATTCTCTGGAATGGCTTACGTTGAATGAATGCTGTTTAATGCCAATGTAATCCAGTTTACGCAAAGGAATCTTCGGCATCGGAAGCCGACTAGGACACGAGAACTTTTATTCGACCGGGGGTTGCGAGACAAGCCGCAAGCTAGCCGGATGCTGCGCTGGAAAATCACTATACGAGCTTCAAGAATGTTCTGATACTCCTTCCCTTGGGACATGTCGAACAAATTGCCGCAGTATATTTGCCCCTCATCGCGCTAATACATAAATAATATCATATTATATGTATGTATAAGTTTGAATTGAAGAAACATTCAATGACAAAAAAATTCAACTATCGAAAATTTTGGGAGAATTGACAATAACTGACAATAACTGATCTTGCTTTTAATTAATTATTAAATGAATACATACAGATAATGAGAATTAAACAGTGCTTCTCATGCAGATTAAAAGCATTCGCACATTCCATTTTTCAAATAATTTTGTATAGAAAAGACACATGTTCTTTTTCAAACAATAAAGATCAATAAAATAGAGATTAACTCTATATTTTCTTGCGTAGATTTCCAAGCAAGATTAGAGTGCGATATAGCGCAAATATTTTTTTATTTACTATAAAATGAGGGTAAAAGATATTTAGTGATCTTGGTCTTTTATAGCTAATTAAGGAATAGTAATATTATTGAAATTCTGAAATGATATTACACGAAGCAGTTTAAAAATATTGTGGGTCATTAACGTGATAAATATAATTAATCTTAGCGTGGTGAGATAAAGGCGGAACGAGAATTTGATTCTGCAAATTGAGTTGCTAGAACGCATTGTGCGACAACAACTAATGGACGTTTATATGCGACCGTAACAAGGGGGAAGAATCTTTTGATCTCTCATCCCTACGCCGCTACACTTTCTATTTTAACCCTCCTGTAACTGGTACGTTTAATGAAAGTGCCGGCCTGACAAACAACCGCCACTATGCTTTTTCATCAAGCCTTTATCAAATTCGGAATTTTAATTTCCCCATCAATTTTATGCGCATTTCGCGGAAAAATTTTGCGAGATATTACTTTTGCGTTACAAAATGACAGATTGTAGAAAAGGCAAGTAATCCTTAAATGTAGAAATTATATAAGATATTTTACAAACTTTATTATCTATGTTTCTATTTTCATTATTTTGTTAAATATAAATTTTGATACAACATATAAATTAAGAAAATAATTTTTACTGTGCATAATTTATTAGTTTAATAAATTAAACATTTTTTTAGTAAAGTCACAATTTTATATAGATACATATCGAGATCTTATATAATTGTCTACACTTTTTTCACATTCTTATAATACACTATCAAACAGAAAAAGGAAGCGAAGAAGCTACATATTTGTTAATGTTTAACTGTGTTACAATGTTAACTGTGACATTAATACGTGTGGCAAAAGTATGCAATGTAATTAAGGAAATAAGATTATTCATTTCTTGGAGAACGTCATTGTGAGAAGAACGTGCATTTTTATGATGTTAACTCTCGCGCATCGTGTCCGCGCGAAACAAAATGACCTCGTACTTACTTTAGATACTTTACAACCTCTTGACAGGACTTTGAGATATACGAGCTGGCTATAATATCGTTATCCGAGCGACGTGTCCTGCACACAAATCACATTTGTAGGCAACCGTTGCTTATGAATGCAATTTAGATAAGCAAATAACCGATATGCAATTAACTAAAGTAACTAGATAATTCTGCGTTAAGGAAAATTACGAAGATTACTTTTACAATATCAATATAATACTAATAAAAAAATTGGCAAAAGAATTGTCATTGCACGTAGTATATCAAACAATCGCAATACTTCTTAAATTTATTTGCGAAGGTATATTGTCATCGCACATTTATAGCTCGAACCAAGCTATATTGATATTAAATGAAAAAATGCGTTCTTTACTATAGAACGCATTATGACGTATTAAGTATAAAATAAATTCCATTCTGATCTGCACTTAAGATTTAGTTGCATTATCAAACGACATCAACTCAAATATTTTGAAATAATTACAAATTTTGAAGATTATATGATTAACCGTTTAATAAATGTGATTAACTTAATAAAACTGCGTTCAATTCCTTTTGATTCATCATTTCTTTTAGAATAGGATTTAATATAATACGTTTCGCAGAGAGAGAAAGAGAGAGAGGGGAGGGAGAGAGAGAGAGAGAGAGAGAGAGAGAGAGAGAGAGAGAGAGAGAGAGAGAGAGAGAGAGAGAGAGAGAGAGAGAGAGTGTGTGTGTGTGTGTGTGTGTGTGTGTGTGTGTGTGTATAGTTGAAAACAGCAAAAGTCAAATTAATCGATGTTCTACAATCTACATCAATCTATCTACCGAAAGGATTCCCCATTCTCGTCTACATTGATCGTATATTGGTCACGGCAGCCCCGTCGAATGACCTTTAGTAGTGGCTCGATTTTACGAATGTGGGTTGGAGGTGGGTGGCGAGGATCGAGCTCGTGGGTGAACGGGCACGTTGTCCGTTGCCGGGAGTCGGGAGTGTCAGGACTCGGGACGGGATCGTAAACGAGGGGAAAACGGTGGAAAAAGGTAAATCAATACTTTGATACTCGCTGGAACCGCGAACGGCGCACGGCGCTCGTTCGTTACGACAGTGACGAGCGACGAGCTACCACGGCTGACGAAGACGAAGACGAAGACGACGACGAGGATAAGGAAAGCTTGTGTGCAGCGAAAACTGGTGTGCGGCACCTCTCCTCGAGGACATCCGGTCCACATCGTCGGTTTTTTCCGTCGCGTACCATTTATCGCTGATTATGGTGAGTTATGCATTAGGCTCGCAGGGAAAATTAAAATATAACTCTATAATGAGACGATTCGTGAATGTGCTGCAAGAAAATCCAAATTTGGAAATTTTTTATGACATTTTATTTGATTTTTCGTTAGGTCGAAAATGTCATTATTACAATAATGTACAATTATAACTGATTGCAAGACAATATAACACAATTATAATATAGATATATTAATAAATTCTTTCTTAATATAACATGTTAATAAACTTGTTAAAGGTATATAATAAAATTAAAACTGGCATCCTGGATAGCCAAAAATAGTCATCTGTCAAAAATAGATTTTGCTAAGTATTTGCTAGAATTAATTTTGCCGACAGAATGCAAACAGAAATCTACTAGCAAAAATGATGGCAGATTATTTGCGGAAGCCGAACAAAATCTATGAAGCAAATTTTGTTCGGTTTCTTTGGCAATCTGTTATAAAATTATGTCGGTACAATAAGTCCGCTGGCACGAGCTTAATAATGCGGGCGCGGTAGATGTCAATATTCTGTGCTTGAATTTGCTTACAAATTGCTAGTTTAGCATATTTACTAACATTTTGTTTACTGATTATGAGACGTTGTTGCGAAAAAATAAACGACGAATATTTACAAGACATTTACAAAAATGCAAAAAAAAAAAGAATCTTTTATGACTTTTATATATATTCTGCAGATGCACGCATTGATTATCATGCTCTACTGCATTCTGCTCCTCTTGATCGCTGTTGCTGCACGGGCGAATATTTACTTGCCCTTAATGAAGGTAATTATGAGAATCAGTAGCTCTACATATATTATGCAAAAAAAAATAAATGAATTAAAATGAATCGAGAGGAATTTCTTTCTGCGAAATGGAATGTTTAATCTTCGAAATCAGAGAATGATTCATAAGTTTCTGAGAATCCTCACTCTTTCTCCTTCAAATCCTAATATATTGGTAATCATCACAAATCATCATGTCAACATTGGAAAATGCAATGCTGAATTAGAAGAAAATACAATTAATTTTTTGGAAAGACTTTTTTTCAACTTATAATATGTTGTTTATCGCTTGTAGGAATTAAAACAAATAAATACGAGTGGAAAAAGATATAAATATGTAGAGAGGAATTCAGGAATCTCAAAGACAATTATCAATTTCGAAGATTCGTGGCATCGCAAAGCAAATTCCTGTTAATTCTTTTTAATTCATCTGTTTTTGTAGGAAAGTAAAGTCGAAAATAAAGCATGTAATCCCCTATTCGGATGTATCCAGGAAGAGGATTTATGGACGGACAACCTTCTGCAAGAATTGATCGATCAAGTAGGAAATGAATTTGTGAGTGTGTCCGATTCGTATTTGGAATATCAGGAGGAGAAAGCCAAAGAATTGCCCATGGAACTGCCAGCCGATTACGACAGCATGGACACGTTGAATCCGAACCCGAGTATACGAGATCAAGAGTATCTGCAGCACAGTACGCTCTGGGGCCACCAACGGTTCGATAATAATAAAAATAATAATGACAAGGGTTATGACAGACATAGGATTCAATCCGGTTTGAAAGGATTCAAGGATGAAAAGACGGAAAATCCACTACCGGCTTACTGCACTCCTCCGAATCCTTGCCCGGTCGGATACATGAGTGAGTAAATAAAATTCAATCAACGGTAATCTAATTGAGAGGTAATGAAGAAAGTCTCGTTATAATTAATTTTTTCAATTATAAAACCTATCTTTCTTCTATACTTCTCTATATCTTTGATTTACACCAAGGATATATACTTTTCCCTTGCTTTTAATGTGTGTGTGCGTGTGTTAATTTGCGTTTTCCTCTTTTATAATCAAACGATCCTTGGAAGGATATCCTACGCGCGATGAAAATACATAAAATATGCCTTCTATTCGCTTATTATATTACATATATCTTTTTTAAATTTGAAAAGCAGTAACTTCACGCACATATACGACTTATTATTCAACATTTATTTATATAATTATAATTTTATTACTTTTACAGCTGAGAACAATTGCCTCACCAATTTTGAAAACACAGCGGCATTTAGTCGCGACTATCAAAGCGCGCAGGACTGCATGTGCGACACGGAACATATGTTAGAATGCGCCAACGAGTCTGGAAATAGCAACAGTTTGTCGAACATGCATATTTCAAATTCCGATCTCAATCAAATTGTCGAACAGTTTCAGGTAATTGAAACACATCATCGTACATAATAAATTTTTGAAAGTCAACTTTGAACAGTCATAATTACGAGAATCCATTTCTTGTTCCTTTTTCAAAAGGAAGGAACTTGAATTTACAAATAAAATTCAATAATATAAAACACCGCGAGATTAGAATTATATTAATATCTTCTTTCAGGAAGAAAATCCATTCTTTCAAGGAGAAAAATTGCCGATAGCTGCAAAGAAAGGCATACACGTGATCGATTAAAGACTTGCAGAAACGAACTCGAGAGGAAATTGGGAAACGAACGTGAAAACATAATACAAACTTCATTGATTAAAGTTTCAGATGTAAACCGATCGAAAAAAGGGCTTCTATTCAGATACTGACTATTAGATGTATAATTAGGCATCGCCTAATAATAATAAATAAAACACACGCATTTGCGCAGCGTTAAAGCGTCAAACATTGAGAAACGTTGTAACGTTTCCAAGTCTGATGATGCACGGACAAAGTTCTTAAATGGACCATGGCTGTTTATCAGCGGGTATATTAAAAAAAATATATATGTATCTTTTTTTTTCATAGAACCATTAATAGAGATCTTGCCAGATATACTACATGTAATTGTATACGTGTACGTTTTAACATTATATAAAGTGTCTACAGTTGCGATTATTCAGTTTATAGAATAATTTTCGTATATGCTGATATTTTTTCAATCCACAGAAATGCATAGAGTATTTCGTAAGGTTTGTAAAATTCTGTATTTTGCAATATTTATAAAACACTCTCTGTATTTGATAGCGATTGAGAACACTCCATTAAACATATCCTGATATGTATTCAAATTTTTCATAAAGTTAAAAAGAAATCTATCATAGATGTCGACTTTGATGTACGTATATTTAAAATAATTATGATATAAAGTAAAATATTATATAAATTATATACACTATGTATGTAATTATGTTTGTCAATTATATTTTATTTTAATATATAGTATATCAAAAAATATTTATTTTTTTATTATGCAAAACCTCTGAAATATATGTACTTTAACAATAAATAAAGTATATGTGCTTTTTAATCATAACCATTTAATTGTAGATACTAATTATTAAAATCATAATAAGATACACATTGTCTTGTAAATTAGTTTGTTTTTAATTTCTTTTTTTAATACATGTATGCGTGTGTGATGAAAGATATAAAGAAAAATATATAATTACTATATACCAATCATAGCAATTAAAGTATTCTTTAACATAATTATAATGATAGTTGAGACACAGCACATATAAAATATTAATAATATTATAATCCACGTGTGTTGTCATTACAAAAGATATATATATATATATACAGATATTATATAGATATATAAAAGTACAAGATCAAACTTCTCTTATTTTATGCAGAATTCTAAGATAATCATTATGCATCGCGATAGAAACACATCTTTCTATTATACAATTTTTACATGCACACCATCGTTTCATCATTTTATCTGTGACATTTATTTTGTGAACAAATAATATTACTGCTTTCTGAAACTCTTTAATATCGGATATATATTATTTAATGCATCTTGTAGTTCAGTCCTATTTTTTGCTCCTAAAAATTATCAAATGAATACATTCAATAATTATTTAGCTATAGCATATTTGCTTGTTGTAATATCTGCAAAAATATTATAGTATTGAAACATACCTGTTAGCACAACTTTACCATTCACAAATATTAACAGTACCACTCTAGGATTTACCAATCTGTACGTCAAGCCAGGATATAATTCTGGCTCGTAACTAGAAAACTGACAGTGCGCTTGATTTAGTTTGTCTAATTTAATTGGAAATTTCAAATCACACGTCGCAACTATGTTCTGTATTTTAAAACAGGAGAACTTTACCTAAAAAAATATATAAAACCACTGTATGTTATTTAATAACTCGAGATTATCTCTATGTGAGAGACGTTGCTTACGGGGAATCCAAGTTTCTGGATTATCCTGGCAAACTTCTTCGCCGCCAAAAGTGAATCTTCCTCGCTTCTCGCGCCAGTACATACTAATTTGCCAGATCGGAAAATGAGCGCTGTCGCTCTAGGATTCTGTATTCTCATTATCAATCCGGTAAACCTTGCTGGGTTGTATTCGGAATTTCTAGTTCTTACATTAATGTACATGAGCTTCAGTTCAGTTTGCAAGTTAACTGTAGAGACTACATTTCTGCAAAAATAATGCGGAACGAAGAATATTACATAAACGAACGTAACAATACCGAGAGAATAAGTAGATATGTTTATGTAATGTACACAAATGATTGGAAATTTACTGTAAACAAGGCTCCAGGACTTCTTTCGTGATATTAGCTGGCGTTATCGGGGTCATCGTCGATTGCGGATTGATTGGATGATTTTGCACCGTGCTTGGCCTCGGCACGTTCGTCTACACATGAAATTGACATTATTTTAGAAATTTAGATTTAGAAAGTGCACGATGCACATCTCAAGTCCAACATATTTAACAACCTACCGATAACGGCGGAGCCATGGATCCATCTTCGCTCGCATTTTTGGCTGGATTATTGAGCAATCTCTTTAATTCGTTATCTTCCTGCGTAATTTGCGTCATTTTATGAAGAGACGAGACTCACGAGACACCGGCGTCACGCAACCCTTAACTCGCATGAAACACTCAATTGTAGGAACAGCTAACAGCACGGCACATCAGGCATCAGGCACATGATCGCCTAACCTCACCGAACGACTGAATCTCACGCACACGCGGCACTCGCGCATATATGATTGACTCCAGACTACTCGTATATCACTACGTACCGTACGAATCAATATATATAATTGCAGATTATTTGATTATTATTGTTTTTCCATCATCTTCGTTATCGACTTGTTGATAATAGCTGATTCCATGCTTGAAACTTTTGCAGTTTCCAAGGTACCGACAATTAGTAAAATGTCGGTAATTATCGACGTCGTCGGTCGTAAAGTCGACGTAATGTAATTTCGAATCACAGTTCCCTTGAAATTTTAATTGGCACGATCTCTGAATATTTCGATTATTTTCGACAAGTTGAATCTTTTTTAAAAATATATTTTATAGTTGCAAAAATCTCCGTTCCTACACGCAGAACGCGATAAGTCGATAACGATAAGGAGCATATCTGATTGATCTGATGCGTCTGGGCCGATCAGCTTGACCGTTTTTTTTTAGAAATGGCAGCTAGTAACAATACTAACAATAGTATATAAGGTAGATGTGCGGCCTATTGCGGCTGATCGAAGACACGCGGAACAATTGCTGATCGCGGCGACCAGCGGCAACGCGGCCGCGGCACGTTGCGGTCTTGCCTCAGGGTCTCAGAGCCTCACTGGCCTCAGTCTCAGTGCCTACTCATTTGCTCCGTGACTCATTGCAGTTGCTATTCTTATTGTCCCTCTTGCTGACTCTTGCCGCGTGCCAACTGCCGACAGTCCGACAGTATCGACGACGACGACTCCGACGAGTTGTTGACACGCGACACGCGGCCAGTCCGCGGAATCACCGTTCGCCAGGGCGCAACTTGTGCTTGTCTGCTCTGCTTGTGCGGTGTGCGGTGTGTAGCGTGTAGCAGCCATTGATCGCTTGGACGTCACCTCGGTCATCCGTCCACTCTCATTGTCAGTCCACTGTCCAGTTTAATGTGAACAAAGTTCGATCGAGGTTCAGACAGTTCAGTCAACGAGTATCTCGTGAAAAATCGTCGAGTAAATGGCGGGTCATAATTATCTAAGCGATCCGAGAAATCCGTTCTTCTCGTTAGAGGACGACGTGGACGATGAGACATTTCTGAGGAACGCGCCAGCTAGGACTGCACCCGGGGGGCGTTATCAGAATCTCGATAATGACATTATGCAAAAACGCCAACAGTTGCTGCAACGTAAGAAGGAAATTGAGGAGCGCACGGTACAATCCTCGGAAAGGTCGGTTTCGCTTCTCAGAGACTCCGAGCAAATTGGTGTAGCTACAGCCGAGGTAAGTGTAACGATATACACCGACACCTCCAGTTTTCTTATCATCACTATAGAGTCATTAATGTATGCAGAAATGCAGATAGCATGGCAGCGCCTGATAAGAACGTATGCCTGTTTAACACGCACATTATTTTATTTGATAAATAAAATACGTTTGCAACACAAGCTTCTCTATGACGCGCTTGTGTCATTAATTTGTTATTGACGCACGACATATTTTCATATCTTCTAAATTTCTATTTTCAGGAATTAATTAGGCAAAAGGAGCAGCTGCAGAGAACAGAGAAACGATTAGATGATATTAACAGTACGTTGAGATTCAGTCAGAAACATATACAAGGCATAAAGAGTGTATTTGGAAGTCTGAAGAATTATCTCAGTGGTAAATCATTGGATGCTCCGATACCATCTACAAAATTGTCAGAGTCTTCCAGTTCTGGATCTGTGACATCTCCCGCATTGTCCAATACATTAGAACAAGTACAAAACGACATGAGCACGTCGTATTCGTCGACAATGATAAGAGCAAGTTACGACGACCATGGCCTGGAAGATGTTAAACCCGCGAGCGACAAGGTAACCAGAGCTCTTGAACAAAATCTAAGTGAGATGAGTGGATCATTGGCAAGACTGAAACATCTAGCGATTGGTTTATCCGAAGAAATAGATTCGCAGAACGATCTGATCGACAATATCACTGATAAAACTGAGAAAGCAGATATAACGTTGCAACAACAAAATAAAGATATGTTACATCTATTGAAGAAATGAGTTGGACGCGTATATATTATCAAAAACTTGTCACTTGTAATATCACGATATTAACTATACTTCTATGAAGTATAGATGTATGTACATGTTAGGCGACGGAACAAATCTTTGACATTACGTTGTATTGTTAACGTGGGTATAGTGTATGTCGGCCGTGCACGTATATTATACAATGTGTTTTATAATAGAGTTTTTCGCAAGGCGAGCGTGCGCGGTCTTTGCAAAAGAAAGACGTGTAATGATACAAAACTAAAACATGTCTGTTGTTAGACGTCATGATCTTTAATAAGGAAGAACTTCTTTCTTATGCACGTGTCGATACTATACACGTAAAACTAAAATGCGAATGCTAAACGAAAAGCGTTTCATACGTTCTCAACACCTTTTGTAACCTTTTAAGATGGAAACTGTGATAAGCATATATATCCATGTGTAATACGTATTCCAAGTTGATTTATTATCAGTATAAAAACATACGTTACCGAAGAAATAAAAAGCGTGGCGTGCAAAACTTATGTACGTGGATATATTTATATAATAATGAAAAAAATGGTAACGTATATGGTATTACAATATGAATACCTTGTTTACGAAGATAGTTTTTCCAAATCTTTGATGTGGAACTGATGTGACTCTTTACAAGTTCTTTCCTTACACTTAACCAAATCTTTTTATAGTTTATGTTTGTGTAATTTAGACATATGCATTATATAAAAGATAGCTGGCGTGATTTATGAAAAGAGCACGAATATGCAATATATATCTATAATAGACAATACGTGTGTACAGTTATACGTTATCACGTTCGATATTCTTTCGTTTAGTTTTATATGTAGATATATAGATACGTACGATAAAATAGCATAAGTAGTATAAGTACATTTGTATACAAGAAAAACATATGCGCATGAATGAACTTGCACACGATTCATACTACACTTATGTGACTGCCAGAATTATTTAATAAAAGCCCATACACGTTTATGTTATTTCATTATTTATTATGCCGAAATGTGTGTACAAATATAATTCATATTATTTATTGTACAACACATATTATTTATTGTATTTTTTTGGTCTTTATTTTATTTTTTTGTTTTTATTGCACGTCGGCATGTATGTACATACCGAGATATATTTGCTCAATATTTGATTATTCGTAGATTCTTTATTTCAATAAAAAAATTTCTCATCGACTCACCGATCCGATGCGCAACGGGCGGAGTTATTCAGGCACGTGTAGCTACGGTGATACTGTAACATACAAACATGAAATTCAAATTAAAGAAGCGCTCAAAATGATCAACATTTCAAAAGTTACGTCTTACGCGTCTCTAATTCGTCTTTCAATAAAATATTTAGCAATACACGTATCTATATTTATCGAAAAAGATCTTTACAAGAATAAAATTTTAGATAATTTTTCTTTCTCTAATTATTTTTCTACGTTATCGAGAAAAAAAGAATTCGAATAAATAAAAAAGAATTTATAAATTTTACGCAGATAAGAGATGATACTCACCCCAAAGTTGCTCCGCCGGTGCCCGATGTCTCTTTCTCAGACCTCCTCCTCCTCTCAGGACGTCAGACCTCCTCCTCCTCCTCCTCTCATCGCACAGGACACTCGCGAAAAACACTCGCGGATAATAAACTACACGCGCGCGTGGACTAATTATAATCAGTAAGTCTTTCGCGCGATACTGTACGGCACTCCCGTTTAAAAAGCCCATGATGAGATACACGAACGTATGACGCATTCACGAACGGGCAATGTATCACGGGTCATCACGGCGCGGGCATTACTCGAATCACTCGATACGACAAACACTCAGCCCTTTTTTCCCTTCGAAGAGAATCGGTGATAATTAAATCACGCGACCAAAACCGACACAGCGTTCAAAGCACGATCGACACGAGATAAATAAATGCTACATTCTAGAGTCCGAACGCGACGGGACGAACCGGACGTGCGCCACGATTATCGCCCGCGAATATTACAACGAAAGCAACGCGTTCACAATTTGACACGTACATACCAGATACCTTCGCCTCGACGCCGACGTCTCCGTCTCGAGCGAGCGAGCGCGTCGTGTGACACGTTCATTCCGACGAAACACTTGAAACACCCACAACGTGTAGTTGAACTCGTACGGCGAATACTCGCGTAGTCGATTATTTCTGCGGCCCGCGGCGAACGAGGACTACGAGAGGAGAGGAAGTCAGGGGTGCCACTCGCAGAAACGAGCGCGAATATGCATGCAGCACTGCGCGAGCACAAACGCTTCCTACGATGTGCAAAATCCATCGGGAGAATGATGGCTGTGGCTGTGACTTCCGCGAGTAATGGTACTCCGAACGCTGACGGAAACAAGTAGCAAGGCCGCTCACCGGCAAAAACAATCGGCCGCGCAGTAACTTATTTAATCGTACGCTGCTTTCAAGTTGAACCGTTCACTCAGTTCACTAGTCGCGCCTAGTATGCAGACTAGTATGGCGCCTGGTACGCCGCGCCGCGCCGGCTCAGAGCGGCCGAAGGTGATTGGCCGGATCTGGGGGCTCGACTCGCGAGCCAATCGCGTTCGACGTCTCCCCCGACTCACCCGACTGCGCGACCAGCGCGACGCGAGTATGCGGAGACATCGGAGTAATACGTGAGTCGTGACACGTTTACAACGGGTCGCGGTCGGTGCGAGCGTGCGAGATGTTGTCGTTCGTGTAATTTTGTACTCCTTTCTCGTGAATGATAAGAAATCGGATTACGAAGTGTTGCAAAGTGAACGTACGTCGAATATGCTGTTCTTCCTTGTGTCGACTGCAACGAGTGGGATGCCGTCCCTGGGCGAAATGAATGCCAAATACCGTGCTGGACGCCGACGACGCGACCGGCGACGCCCGCGCCACACATATCACCCTTTTGATGGCTGTGATTTGGCGGGTCTCCTGCAGCGTGCCGTGATCGGTGAGTGACGTGTACACGAGATATAAATAATATTTCAAAGCGCGATACATCCGAATCTTAATAGAATCATTGTCCCGCGTCAGAGTGAAACGATAACCTCGAACGCCGCGTCTCCTGCCTCCGCCCTCCGTTTCGATTCCTACTCCGAATATAAAGTAAATAATGCGAGGAGATGGAGATAGATGCTTCAATGAATAGCTTGAACGTCTCGTTAAGCGCGAGAATTAATAATCACGTGAGTAATTAAAGAGAACGATCGCGCGTTTGGCGCAAAGTTCTCACTTTGCTTGTGTCGCGATCGCGAACGATCGAGGGAGTGAGCTTATGCTTTAAAATGACAAAATGCATATGAACGCTGAAAGTGCGTGCTGCGTACTGACAAGCTCAAGCTCAAATGTGCGTCCACGAATACACGTCCGTTTTCGTTTAAAAAACAGGCATATACGTCGTTGTAAATGTTTTAAATTATTTGCACGTGTGTTTCTCCATTCCTCCTTCTCTACTTTATAGAAAATTCACGTTAACGTGTATCGTTTTTTATATGTAACGTTCTTCGCGATCATTCTCGCAGCGCGGTGATCGCGCATACCATAAAAATAAAAGACGATGACGCGTCGCCGCCAAGATATACTTAAAAATTATAAAACATTCTCTGTTGCTTGTTCCCCAAATATTATTCGTTTTGCTTACAAAATTTTCCTTAAACGAGCCTCGTGCTTCGTATTTCGTGCTCTTATCTTGCAGATTTATTAGCAAGAAAAAGAAAGAACATTGTCAATTCGATCGCGGCGCCTTAAAATGGAATTATTGCTACGAAATTTTTTTCCGATAACTGATACTAATAACTCTACAGTTATACGTTACGAACTCATATAGCTGATAGAATTTAACATTAACTATAGACACTACAAAGCGCGTGCCATTTATTCTCGACTATTTATTTATTTTTAACAACATGTATAAAATTTAATTTTTACATTTATTTGACATCACGGATCAAGATAACTTGAATAAAATCAATCATAATAAACCGTCATTTATAAGTTGTCAAAACATGATTCTTGCGCTGACAGTTTATACTCTCAGTACGACGTGAGAGAATCGCCAAGCGAGAGACGTACGCAGGGTCATGGAAAAACGGCAACACGTCAATCTTTTACATGCCTTGTTTATAACAGTGGATACTATACCGTGCACACATTTTTATCTTAAAACGTACAATACAGAGACTTATTTCTATACTTCATGTCTCGAGAAAAATATGGATTTATTTATATTTCATTTATTCATATATATCGAACATTTTTTGAAATTTTATCTGAAGAAATTGAATATAATATAAAGAATTAATAATAATAATCACGGCGAATGAGGTAATACTTTTAAATTCCTTCTAGGCTGTATGTAATGTTTTAGTTCTATCGGTATTACACGGTCCATCTTACTACGGTGTTACCTAAAACAAATGTTATCACTTTAATTATTACATGTATACAAAGATTAAAATTTATCATGCATGATATTTAACAACGTTATTAAATATTAAGTCCGATATTAAGCAAATAATAGATTTTAATTTATAAACGTGTATCGACTAATAAACATATGAGAGAATCGCGAAATTTCTAGGAATGTCTTGGCACAAGTAGTTGCATCCGCACTGCGTGTGAGATATAATAATAAAAGTATACTGGAGTGGACCGAGTGGACACTGGACGTTAGACACTGCCATGCTACGCCCGTGAACAGCGCGGACGGAAAATGATCCATGAGACCATGCAGAGTTCACCGGAAACAGATAGATAAGTTGAGATCTCTGTCTTTCTCTGTTGTACAAGAAGCATGCGCGTATTACTGACAAGTGACAATGAGAGAAAGAAATGGTTGTCTTGCTCTCTGCCCCTCTCCAGTATACATACTTATATTATTTATTGCTTATTATATCTCACGATCAGTAGATGCCTTGCATCCCTTGCATCCTATTTTGACATATTTGGAATTGGAAAATGCGCATCGCATCTAGATAGGTATTTGCGTATCGTGACTTACAATTAGAACACGGTCGAGATTGTTGTAGTCGAGAATCATCAAGTATCGAAAACGATCGATTTAGATTTTAGTAACGGTCACGGTGTGTTTTGCGCAAGTTCAATTCTTGATAATACATGTTTAATCAATATGAAAGCTCATATACGGCGTATCTCTACACACCAATTGAATACCCAATAAAAAAAACTAAACATATTAAAGCATAAATGTAAAATAATGAGTTCGAATAACGTTTAACGACTATTATTGTCTCGAGAAGATTTGTAAGTGGCAAAGAATGTTTCGGGAAATGCGTATATATCAAATAAAATTCAAATCCGTTTGGTGTGCAAACGTTACTTTCTCTAGAAAAATGGCACTGTTTGAATCTATAAAGACATTAACAGACAAAATTCATTTTTTCAATGGAAAAAAGGGATTTTTTTAATAAATTATATTATGTAGTATATAAAGACTTTTATAGGAAAATTCAATCGTTTTCGGAGTGATTCAAGCCGCTTAAAGAAAGAATACGGACTCTTTTAACTTTATTTTACCTATATATTTGTATAGATTTCCATCTACTTTCTGGCAGAAGCAGCAGTAGTAGTAGTAGTACCGCGCCCGCGACAAGCTGCTTTGTCAAACTCAAGAATCGATTTCCCGATGCTCATGCTCATCGTCGCCTAAAAAAGCAAGCAAGAATTAAGAGTTGCTCGATATTAATATTTATAATATTTTTTTTATTTTTATGTAAACACGCGGGCACATAAATAATAACGAGAACGTAATATTGCTTTGCATTTTATTGTGATACTGAATAATGAAAAATTATTGTTATATAATAGGAATAATTTTGGTCATTTATACGTCTCGAAATTGTGATACGTCTTACCATGATGCACATGACAAAGAAACAGAATAGTTTGCCGAACAACTTCATCTTTCACTACAATATTTGTTCCAACTAATGCCGTACACCCTGGCATGCCTTTTATACTATTACAGTACAATTATGCTGTATCTTTTATCAACAATTTTTGTTTGCGCGATAGTACTTCCGGCACTTCCGGAAACAATAACAAGTTTCAAAGTTGACCATATCTGCTCGCACATATATGTATATACATGCATGTGTATAATTATGTGAACTAATCATCACCCGCGAAAAAACAATTGAGTATCAAAAGAAAGAAACAATATGTATAACAATCATAAGCATTATTTTTCTTTGTTATTGGTTGGGAGATAACAGAGAACATGCGCGATAAAGAGTTATATAACAATCTTATATTGCTATAAAATTTATTATATCTTGTGATCTACATATTTATAGACGTTGATCATCATTTCGATCCATTTGTCACAAATAAAGTATAATTATCTGAAGGTATATCTGTAACAACATTGTGTTTTTTGAAACAGCTATAAAAATTAGAAAATAATGCATGCAAATTTTGTTATATAAATTAAAAAATAAAAATAAAAGATAAATATATACGTTCATAAAAAGTTATTGTCCGTGTTGGATTTCATGATTATGGTGAAATTTCTTTTTATTATTGTGAATTCCAATTAGCATTTTATCTTATGCAAATTCTAATTAGCTTTATTTAACTTTTATAGCTTCTCTACATACGATTACCATATACCTATATTATTGACATCTTGGCACTTGCCTTATATATTATTCCTATATGATTAAAAATATCTTGTTAATGAGATTGACTATATTACAATCAACACGTGTTTTACTTGTAGTCGAGCGGGCATTTTTTTCTATTATTTAAATTTTAAATTAATTTAATAAGAGAATCGTGATGAGAGAGAGAGAGAGAGAGAGAGAGAGAGAGAGAGAGAGAGAGAGAGAAGAATATTAAGTATTAAAATGCGCATCTCAGGCTAAGAAGCGTAATTTCTTTTTAGAGCTAGCGTATGCAATACGCATTGATTTGTAATGCCAACATATGCGTAACGTAAAACGTCATTAACACGTCTGATCATCATCTACGTCATTTACAACGGAAGTTGCCTCATAAGCCAATCGTTCAGCTTCCCTTTGCGCGGCGATCGCCGCGTGTTGTTCCGCGATTCTGTGATACAATTCATTGTGTCTGTCCTTCGCTCTCGCCACGCTCGCTGAATCCTGCAAAGCAATTAAGCAAAGCAATGAAAAAACGCAAGTTATGCACGAGATAATCTAGCTCAATCAAAATTTTATTCTTTATCGAGATATCCGAATTCCCGGAAACGAATGTATTTTTGTAGACAATCAGAATGCTTCTCCATTCTCATCGCCTCTTTAACAAAGAATGTAACTTATTTAATGGGGAATTTGTGATTTTAAAATTAGCTTGACTTGGAAATCGGACCCTTAGTTTTACTACTCTATATTAACGGATATATTAATAACAGACAATTACTCGTGGCAAATTTGCTGGAACGTTATGAGCGTTTGCCTCTGCAATCCTGTGATAAAGACGGAAATGTTTCTCCTTGGCCAGTCTTACAGCTTCTGAATCGGCAGGTTGAGCGTAAGCATCCTCAAAGTTGATTAAAGCTGGATGAAATCCGTTTTTATCGGCCGTATACTCCACTGTTCGTACTTTGTATTTTGGATCAATGTACGAATATGTTCCTGAAATACATATACGTATAATGCACCGCCGCGATCATTAACACGTCTGACTGCAGATTGCATTATTTCTTTTAATTACTACATTATTACACATTTGACAGTTCTGTTACATATGTTATTTAACATTAAACTAGTCAAATTAGAATTAATTCTTTGGATATAATGCAATTTATTTTTTGTCGTTAAAAAAGGCAAAATCTGAGAATGAGATTCAATCTTATTTCAATAATAATCATTTCAGTTTGACAAGTTTTATCCATTGTTTTGTATTTTGATTTAATGTAAACGGATTTGTGATGACTGATGAAATATAGCGAGTATGTTGGTACGCGATCTGCAGGATCTATAGTAGGTATATATACATATATGTATATGTATATGAATGACATTTGCCGTGAATTACCGTGAATAATTCCATGTCCATCACCGGCTTCTTGATGAACACGATCGATATGTCCTGGATATCGTCCTGCCTCATATTGGAAACTATACGGTTTCGGAGGTGGTAGTGGTGTCGTTGTCGAGTATCCTGAAATGTGCGATACATCCGCCAAGCAAACGCTAATCAAGGCGGCGGCTATCTATAATTTAATATAAAATAATTATAATAATTTGTTAAATGGTTTGATTGGATTTCAAATGGTGGTAAATTTTCTAAAATGCATTTAATTTGAAATTAATCCAAAATCCAGAAATGAGATTTTATTTTAAAAATTAGAAAGTCAGTATTTAAAATATTTTTTTATTTATTCTAAATTCTACATTAGTTTCTTAATTTCTTCTCAAGAATTCAATTTTATATTACTATTCAGTATTACTGGCAGCGAATATCGGAACGCAGCTAAAGAATACAGCAACTTTCGCGCATCAATACAATTCCAAGTAAGCGAGTTGCGTAATCAACCGGTTATTTCGCCATATAAACTGTACACTGTCTGAAGAAATTTTTTAATTTGTATTATCTGCCCTACGATGTTTTTATATTTCCCTTCTTTATTTTGGAAGATTTCCTATTTATAAAAATATTATAGTATTGTACTCTATTACAATTTACAATATACATATATAATAAGATACACACCTATAAACTTTGTTTATATTGTGTATTTATATGTATATATGAACCACTTATTATTTATGCATCGAATTCGATGCAGATATTTATCTGAAATATTTGTATTATAATATTAATTAATCGTTAAATCTATGTTCTTTACTTACGATTACGTATTTCATTACGCGAGACTGAGAAGTCGATTGGCTTATTTCATCGATATATTCACACGCGCGTTTTGCCGTTTACTGCGAGGATAGCTTGATGGTGAAAGTATTATAAGAAACTGTCGAAAAGCAGGTATTATAAAGGTTTCTCCACACCGAAGCAGTTTTCTATATATGATTCGTATAATTATATTATAAACTCAACTTATTACATTAACAAAACGGTTATTTTAAATAACAATATTATTGTTTATATTAACATTAATATTTATTTAGATCAAATTAATTAACATCACTGTAGTAATTATACTATTAGATTTAACTAGAATAATTGATTATATGCAAGTATTAATGACTCGCATTTATACAATAAAATAAATTTACAATAACGATGAAGAATTTCTTGTTTCTTATTTATTTGTTCAATACAGTAAAGATTGCAACGTTTGCTTCGCATTTTATATGAGAATAACTTTCTCTTAACGTATAAATATATTTAAAATGTTTAAATTTAATACTATAATCTTTGTTGAAATTAACATAATAATATAATTTTATCTGTTACTAAATTCTAGGATTGAATAATTAAATTCGATTGCCGCAGAAAAACATTATATGTATGAAGAAACGCAAATAAGAAACCTGATTACCTGGTAAACGTGAAGTAATAAGAAGTAATATAATTAAATTTGTGCACGCGCAATTATGATATATCTAACTATTATATGCTTAACCTGGTCTAATCTAATCAACAATCAGTACAATTGTTATTAGTTGTTACAGTTGTTATTACTATACTATATTTAATGCCATAAAGATTGGTTAAATATTTAATGTTAATAAACATGAATTAGATTAATATTTTTATTTTCCAAAACTGTGGTTATCGCCGCGTATTTTAAAAATAAAACCAAATAGCTATACCATTGGTGTTGCAAAACATTTAATTATTCAGTCAATCGATTTCGAGCTTTTTAAAGCTTCCTTCAACTCCAAACAAATCCGTTGCTGTCTTCGCCTTGCCCGGTCGTAGCGCCTCATTAACGCGATGAGCTTCTTCCTCTTGGAACCAAGCAACGTGATCTACCAATTTTTTTATTTGTTTATCATGTAACTCCTGTAGAGAACCGGCTTGACCGCCTGACTCATTCGGAAGAACTTCGAGCGGTATGAATTTCTCCAGAGTGTCGCTCGTAGTATGCATATGAAACTAGAATTTATAGAAACATATAGTTCAAAACTTTGATACTTTTTTCATCGAATTATATTCCCCTCCACGCAATTTTTTCCAAAAATAAAAATATAATTAAAATACGTATTATATACGCAGTAAAGAAGTAAAATATACAATATTTCTCTTATCTCTTAGCATTTAAAATTATATTTTCGAAGATGCGTTGTTTAATACATAAACACGTTGCTACATCAAATAGGAAATTTGATCTTTTCACTTTTTTACTTTTAATGTAATGATATGGATAATTGATCGGCAATGTGTGTGTATATAATTTCAATCTTACCATATCCATCAACTGCTTTTTCATGAATGGTCTCATCATATTCATAATGACATCCATTACCGGAGAAGAATTCATAAAATGTAAACCCTTCAATCTGACAGGCAATCCTTCTTGTAGATAGTAGAGGAATTTCTTTAGGCCCATAGGACTCAAACGGCCGACGTGACCGAAAGAAACGTTTTTCATGTCAAATAATATTATGTGGCCTTCGCAAGTGCCCTCGGTGTAAAGCCATAGATCGATCACCATATTTAGGCTTTTCATCACATCGTTGTAAACAAAATGCGATGGTTCGCCGTCTAGGAGTCTTCCATAAATGATTTTATAGCCTTCTTTAGTAGTTCCTTCCAAAACTTGGTGTGTTCTGTCGATAATAAGATCACTTCTACTTTGTATGCGAAACTCTGCGAGAAATATTGCTGCATCCATTTGTCGTGTATATAAGGAATATCACACACACACACACACATGAATGTAACGAATAATTAAAAAGAAAAAAATTATAAATAATATACTTACACCGTTTCAGTTGCTTTTTTGAGTTCCTTATTGTTATTAGGATCTCGATTGGAGAAGAACTCAGGTACGTGAGTCCTAACTGTGTAAAAAGTATCGATAGTAGTTTTCGTCGGTTCGAGTCGATAATAATTGCTATGCAAGAACAATGCTAATTCGCTGTCTGATATCTTGGGTAAGTGAGGCTGTTTTTCGCACCACTCTCTCAACATTTGAATATCTGCCTCTTTCAATTCAGGATTCTTCTTCAGTTCCTCCTCGAACGATACTAGTTTTATCGAAGCCATCGATACTAGTTTTATCCAGCCACTTTGAATTTAAACTTCTATGGAAGTGAAAACAATAACAATGTTGACAGAATCGTATAACTACACTACTACATTGTATATCGTAGCAAAACTGGATATATTTTTTTTTTATACGTATACAGATATACAGGTGTAGCAAGGTATATGTGACTGAATGAAGGCCACGTGAAAGTCGTTCAACTCGCGTGATTTCAATACATAAATATGTAGCAACATTTGCTTTCATTTATTTTATCCTACGTTAAAATACCATTGATCTGAAAAGCTTTGCGAGATAGGTATGTTTTATTCCTTCATAATACAAAGAGATTACAGAGATTCTATATATTTATATACACACATATATATATATATCTATATACAGTAGGTATATAAAATAACGACATATGATTGAGGAAATAGGGACCATTACGTTAAATTTTTATATCTGTTTGGGAGTCGATCTCGACGAGATCGTCCCGATTGAAATACCGGGATACGCTCAGTGATGAGCGCTAAGACAGTCGGTTACGCGAATCCTCAGATTCGCTGAAGGATCTTGAGCGGGAGAAAAACTTGAGAGTTCGTGTCGTTATTAACAAAACGTTATTTCGTGCATAAGGTGCGGAGCAAGGCGACGCCGACCCTCGGAGCAATTCGCGTACACGCGGAGATTTTCGTCCTTCTGACAAGGCCGTTCCGCGAATCGGATGTAAAAATCGTAGATCTTTTGCAGTCGGAGATCTTGATCGCGAGACCGAGGACGATCGCGAGAATGATACGAGCGTCAGCTCACAAAATCACAGAACAATCAATGTTACCGCACGCAAACGATTTTCAATCTTAGATTGCTCGACACGAGATTTTATCAAAGATCATCAGCTCCCGTACGAACGAGCCGACGATTCAAAGTCTTCTGCCTGCTCCGAAACTCTCCGTTCGGCGGTCGCGCCGTGGAAAACCGGAGAACGCGCTTATTCGACTAATCACGCGTGACTCTATTTTGAAGCTTTAGTTTTTCATTATAGGGTTGCTAATGCAGACGCGCGTCGAGCACGTGCTACTGTTGCGAGGCGCTGTGCCTCAACGAATAATCGCGCGCGATGCTCTTCGAGGCGCGTGATCGCGGCTCACGACTGAACGTTACCGGGCAGCGAATATCGACGAGTTTAAATTGTATACCACACGATATAGATAATATATTTCGTTTTGACTTTCAAACAATATCAAATGCAATATTACATTAACTTGTTTATGTGCGGAATCTTCCAAATAATGCATTACAATGTGGAGTTGAACGTAATCGAAAAATGATTGCGTGCCCAATACTTAATTCTTTGCAAGCCAAGTAACTCGTCTTGCACAATTGTTAGACTAAAGATTAAAGTATGATCATTTTAATGATAGCGAATGAAATATATACTTATAAGTTCCACATACCTCGGATATGCGTGCTACTCGTATGTGAAAGAATTTCGGATGTCTCACGATCAGCCTGATGTCTTAGACAGTACTAATTGAGATCTGCATAGACCTTTTAAACTGTACCGGTGGCGAAGCGGCAATGGAGAACGTAGCGTGACAGTTGAGTATGTTTATTGACGTACGTGACGTAACATGCTATCTTCGTGATAATTAGGGAATTTATGAAAATGTATGAAATTTTACTTTATAGACACATACAGTTTTCCCAATCAGCAAAAATGAGCGACATGCAATCTTTAGCAACAAATGTCTGGATTTATTATGAGTATTTCTTATAATTATATACGTAATAAAAATTAAAATATACATATTTATATAAATAAATAAAAAATGAACGAGCTACTAATATAAAACAAACAAAGTGTGAGGGAGTTATTTATCGTAATAATATTGTATCAATAATTTACTATGTCAGTATAGATCAGTATTAATATTTATTTATTGCATATGTATATTAATCATGTCGATTATTTACATCGAAAATTATCTACGTCTAAATATTAAAAAATGGATAAAACATGATGACATACATATATAAAAATATAGAGTTTCTGGGATATTAGCTGCACACGGATGAATCTATACACATACAAATCTACATTTAATAGTTATCTAGTACTCTATCATTAGACACGTGATTATACGTGACACGTAACATTTTTAAAAGTGTTTGTGTCACAAAAGAGAAATCGCATCTCAACAGAAGCTATTAGAATGACTTTAAAAAACATGCGAATGCCATGTGAAAATAGTTTAGTTTGTCATTGGCGTGCTGAAGATTACGTTACGCTAATAAGCAGTAAAATAGTATTAAGATAAATCTATGAAAAATGTATTACGTCAATACATTGTCAATTCATGATATATTTAGAGATTAGTCGGTATTAGTCGCAGCTACGCGCAGCTACTATCTTCAGCAAATAACTATAGATGGAAAATAGTTTACACTGCAAGTATATTACATCCGATAACAGGTAATGATTAAGTAATATTTATTATATTATCCAATTGTAATAATTTGTAAAAAACTGCAGCTAAAAAAAGAATAATGCGTAATTTTCGAAAACTATTTATTATGCTGAACAGCCCACTTATAGAAGTCTCTTGTCAATCCGAATGTAATATGGTTCGCATAATCGATCCTTTCGTTCTTCAAAAATTATTTGCAGTATTAATAGTTTTTATTTGAATGTTTATTAATTCTCGAGTAGAACTATATAGTTTTCCTGTTAAATTATATAGTTGAACACTGCATTTATTGAGAACGGATATCTGCTCGCATCTGTGTCATTGATGAATGGAACTGTAAGAAGCAGTTTATTTGATATTATGTGTTTATTATTCATTGATTGAAAGCGTTACAACCACTCAATTTATTGAACAAGTTCTAGATACAATATAAATGTACGTAAATATAATTCCTAACGACATGATAATTCCCGATTGTGATATCGTCAGCACGTACGTCTTTTTTTTACCTTTTCTTTTTTTACGGGAAATATTTTTTATATCTCGTCGATATCGCTACTTATAAGATTTATATTTTTCTATTAACTCAAGCCCGATTCATTGTAGCTTGCGCGCGCGCACGCGCGCATATGAATTTAAGTATACAAAATAGTTATTTATAAAAGTATAAATTTCTATAATAAATGTTTTAAAAACTGGATTAACAATTCAATAAACTGATAGTGATTTAGGTAATACTGTTTAACATTTATTATTTTCTAATAATAATAGAACTCCGATTATTTCATATTTAATACCTTTTGGTTTTTAAGAAAATAATTTTTTACAATATTTTTTACATACTTTGTTATCTCCTTGCAGTGTTAGGATGTGTTGCACAAATATGATAGATTTATATATAATAATGTGATTATTTTTAAAATTCTTTTTTTCTTTCACTTTATTATTCACAATGTTTAGAAGCTAGTCTAAACAATTAGTCAGGACTCAAACTGTTTCAATAAAAAAAGACTTGATATCTCATGGTCTTTGCGACCTAATCTTATAAATATTCCATCGCTTTTATTGTAGGTATAATATGTGAAATTTCTAGTACTATTAGAACGCAAAAGTATATATAAATTAATTGGATTTTGTACCTTTAGATTGTCTATGTTATTTGCATAAAATATAATGAAAATTTATTGCACCTGTTTATACCTTGAACTTTTATCACAAGATCGTTTAGATTTTAGATATTTATTAGATGTTGGCGAGCAAGCGATCGTTTGTTGCTTTTTTATTCATCTTCTGTTTTTGCTCGCTCCCGGCGCGCAACATCACCAGATAGATATCTCTGACATACAAGGTATCGCAAAATCTGACCTCGTACTCTTTAACAACAAAAAACTTTTAATCGGAAATATCAAAATGGAGATTATTATTTACTAAAATTTCTTTTTCAGTCTCTACTATACAATTTTATAATTAAACTTGATATTATTGCTATTCTTGTAATTGCTATTCTTGTGATACATTGATTCTGCGATACCGTGTATATTAACAATTACTAATAAATTATTAATAAATTGCAGCGATTACGACATTCTCGCATAAATAATTGTTTTTACTCGGATAGATGCACGATGCACGATTACGTAAAACGTTACGTAAAGTGCAAGGTACAAAATAATATATTACAAAAGAGATTAAATAAAAATGGAATAATCAGCTATATTAAAATATATAAAAAAATTATCTAATATATTAATCTATATCGAGTTTTTTAAAACTACCCTCTATACCGAACAAATCGTTCACTGACTTGCTTTTGCCGATTCTCGACGCTTCATTAACGCGTCTATTTACCTCATCTAGCAGGAACCATTCGCGATAATCTTCGAGTTTCTTCACTTGAATTTCCGCTAATTCATGTACAGAGCCTGCTTTTCCCCCCATCTCGTTCGGCAGCACGTCCACCGGAATATATTCGGAAAGGCTCTTAAACGATGGATGAAAATGTATCTATGTATAAGAAAAGTAAATGAGATGATTTAGAAAAACTTTCCTGAGTACTAATTGTAAATAGGATATAGTAGCATTGAAATTAGTATAATTTTTTCGGTTATAAAAATTTTAATATTACGGACAATTAGACACAAAAATTTCTACGTTTATCGGTGACGATCAAAAATTATATTTTGCATAATGAGGTTTGTTTAAGTTTATATAGAAATACAATTAAAAATAATTATTTGTTCAGACATTACAGAATTATTTGATCGCTTTGAATTTAATTAATCGATTTGTGATATTTACTATGTCCATTATCTCTTTCTTCATGAAAGGTTTCGCCGTGTTCATAAACAATTCCATGGCGGATGGCGCGTTTATGACATGGATTCCTTTTAGACGCATCGGTGCCGCATTTTGGATGTAGTACAACATTTTCTTCAATCCCAATGGACTCATTCGCGCGACATGACCAAATGATAGTTTACTAGCATCGACAATATAAGTATAACCGTTGTTCGTACCATCCGTCAGAAAATATATGTCGTGTAACATCGTGGAATATTTCGCGTTGTCATTGAAGATATAGTTAGAAGGATCGGGGTCCAGATATGTTCCATATATAATCTTGTAACCGTCTTTTGTTATTCCATTTAGGGAAAGTATAGCCCTTTTTAAGTCACAAATCAATTTGTCTCAATTATTATTAATATATCAATAGAGGAAAGTGCTCTATTATGAGATAGGATTCTAATATGAGATGGGGGGGTTTTTTCATGGTGGGATCAACAAATAGGGCTTATATAGAGCCTTTTAGCTTAACGTATCTCATATTTGGATTCTGTCTCATAATAGGGCACTTTCCTCTCTATACATCAAAATATTAGCAAAATTACTCTGCATTATTCTTAAAAATCTACAATTAAATACTAGTATATCTATATATCTACATATTGTAGGATTTGCGTTATTTTATGTACAGATCTCAAAGTGTATATATATATTATACTTTTAACATTTCAAATATTATAAAAATTAGCCGTTTTATACACGAACAAGTTATATACCACTATTCACTCACTATAATATTCGTAAAATCGCTTACGTGACTTTGAAGGCTTGTTGTAGTTTCTTTTCTTCGAGCGGATCCCGATTGCAAAAAAATTCTGGTAAATGCGTCCTGGTTGTGTAGTAATTTTCGATTGTGTTTTTCGTTGGTTCCATTTGATAATAATTACTGTGAAGGAATAAGGCGAGAAAACTATCCTCGATTTTTGGCAAGTGCGGTTGTTTCTCGCACCACTCTCTCAGTGATTGTATATCGGATAGCTTCAGTTGAGGATTCTTCTTCATTTCTTCTTCTAATGTGATTCTTTTCATTATTGACATTGCAATTTGAATTGCAGCTTAAAATGTACTTTATTGTATCTGAATAGAAAAATATCTGAGAAAAATCAATTCAGTTTTTACTGTTTTGAATTTGTTATATGGTCACAAATTGAAAAAAAATGCCGTAAAATTGGTTGGTTATTGGTCAGAAAATAAGAAATTTTTTAAACAGATAACTCTGATAAAAAGTTATTTTCTGAACAACCACTAGTCAGAAACTAATGCATGCAAAGCGGGATTACTAAATAGTATTATAGTTAATTTATACTCGATGTTAATCAAGCTTGGAATATTCTAGTTATTATTCCTTGATCAAAAATTAATTAAAACGCCTCTCAGTAATTATAATTATAATTATAATATATCATTTATTACTCCATGCTTAACAACAGTATGAAAATGACAACATAAGTATAACGATTATTAAATACCTCTTTTTCTTTCCTTCCGAATTTTCAATATGATATTTTCAAAGCTAGTAAAGCGAACCGTTGAGAGATTTAGCGAACACTGCTGGCTGGAACCGGTTTTCTACTGCAGATATACGAGTTTAATTTGTATTATAAATCAGTTCTAATTAGAGTGGTATGCATGCGGAAAATTATGCGTTGCGATACGTGTAACTTCTATTCGAGCATTATACGATCGCAACACACATGTATGCGCGTCAAGTTATACAAGGTTTTACAATTAGTAGTGCTTACTTGTGGCACAAACAATTGAAACGCTTAAGGAGTGATGAACATGCATGTGTACGTATAATAAACTATTATAATCTTTCAAGTAACTTATTGTTAGTTACATAACAATAATTATGCATACAAATTGTGTATCACAAAATAATATAATTATTGAGATAATTTAACAATCGAATTATATTATACAAATCCTCTTTTGTGTTTACCTTTGTAAATGTTGATATAATATAACTTATATAAATGGTAAAAAAATTACTGAACAAAAATATGATGCTTTGTAGTATTTGAAGAGCGGGAGAGAGGGAGAGAGAGAGACAGAGGGAGGGAGGGAGGGAGGGAGGGAGGGAGGGAGGGAGGAAGGAAGGGAGAGAGAAAGAGAGAGAGAGAGAGAGGGGACACACAAAATATTAAAAATTTTTTTGAAGAAATTTAAATTCAACTGATTAATCTAGCTCCAACTTTTTAAAGCTACCGTCTACACCGAATAGATTTTCCGCACTTTCGCATTTGCCAACTCGCAAAGATTCGTTCACTCGTCCATTAGCTTCGTCATACTGAAAGTAATCGCGAAATTCTTCCAACAATTGGATATGCTTAGCTGCTATTTCTTCGATAGGTCCCGCTTTCCCACCGTACTCGTTTGGCAAAGCTTTGATAGGTAGATATTTCTTCACGGTTTCCATGTTTGAATGAAAATGCAGCTAAAGTAATAAATGTACATTCATATCTTATATTTTTTCCTTCTTAAATGTTTCTTAAAAAGAAGAGACTTAACATGCCATTGACTTACAAGATTCATCATTTCCTTCTTTATGAAGGGTTTTAACAAATTCAAAAACGTATCTACTATGGGCATAGCGTTCAGTACGTGTAAGGCCTTCAATCGAACCGGAGCAGCTTCTTGTATATAGAATAAAACTTTTTTTAATCCCATTAAATTCATAGCAGCGACATGGCTGAAAGACAGGCCAGCTGCGTCAAGAATAACAACCAATCCCTCGCTGGTGCCATGCACCACATTTTGAACCTCGCACGTCATAAGCAGATACTTAGTGCACTCGAAATGATCGAATTTATTCGGATTCGGATCCAGAAATCTGACAAGTGTCATGACGTATCCTTCTTTAGTTTTTTCCTCTAATGGCACAGCTGCTCTGTTATCGAAAGAATACTTAATTTTTTCTTATATTTCCATATGATTTTTAATGATACTTGGTGATCTTAATAATTTAACAGGATTACTTACATGACAGAGAAGGCCTTTCGCAATTCTTTCCACGCGATTGGATCTCTATTACAGAACACTTCTGGCAAAAGCGTTCTTATGGTAAAAAAATTGTCTATCGTCTTCTTGGTCGGCTCTATGCGATAATAGTTACTGTGCAGAAACATAACAAGATACACCATCTCTATTCGTGGCAGATGAGGCTGCTTTTCCATCCAATCCTTTAACATTTGCAGATCTGACATCTTGAGTTCCGGATTTCGCTTGCACTCTTCTTCTATACTAACATATCGAGTCGGTAGTGCAGACATCGGTGCTCTGATCGACCTACAAATTTGTCCTCGTTTATATACAATATATATATATATTTTTTTAAATACACTTGCGGGAAAGAGAAAAAGAATTATATGAAATCATGCAAAAGAAACAAGAAAAAAATATAAACATACATATGTATATTGAGCGCAAACGTTTACTTTTAATTAATTAAAAATACGATTGATATGATACTAAATCAATTATAAACTCGATAATGTTGTTTTGAACTGTATTAGAAACTGTATCAGATACGCGATATACTTGTATTGATATAAAAAATATCTCTTGCGAGATAGAACAATACGTTGCTATAACATATAATTCGAAAAAAATCTGAAACTGTAAAAACGCATCACTATCGTTATCGTAGATAACATTTTTTAATAATCAAGATAAGCCAGATACGTTAGTTTAGTGAATGTATCTATTCATTAAAATTTGTACTTATTTTTTCTGTGATTATATATTATATACATATATAGATACACAACATTAAGTTAAAAACCTTAGCATTTCATATATGTGACTTTATTTTAAATTTATATTAATCTTCTTTCTTTCCTTTCTCTATACGCATATTTTTGAAATTCAAAAATACGATTATATATTACATGTACACATACACACACAATACACAATACAAAAGATTCTCCTTTTATTAATGATTTTCTATAATACACTTTCCATATTTAGCACATTTCAACTTTCGCAGACGCGGAAATGAGATTTTTAGTTAGAGAAAAAATTAGATCGTCAATCTACCTTGACCAGTTGTTCCTTAACCGGTTATTCACAGGTGGATCTGTCCTACAAATGTTGGTAACACAGCACAGAATATCGCTACTGCGCACGCGATAAGTCGATTACACACTGATTTCTAAAAGAGAATGTCCGAGAGTTTCGAGCGTTTCGAGCGTTTCGAGCGTTCGACACGCCGAGAACGATTACTTTCATATTGCGCTCCACGAAGACTAAAATATTCCATCTGCGTAGTCACGATCGCGCGATAAAAAATATTAATTTCAAACAGCTATTTACAAGTTAATAGCTAAATAACAAAAAAGAGATTGAGGCATAATTATATAAAGAACGCTAATGCACTATAATTGATTGTATATGCTTGTAGATCTCATTTGTATTGCGTTATATAAATCTTATTGTTTTTAACACGTTCCATGTCGCGCCGTTTTTACGCGACTGTCCATTCAGACCGCGTGTACTACAACGATGGTACATTATATGATAACTATGTTACATTTCAAAATGTTAGAGACGGCTTAAATGGAGAACACAACATCAGTAGACGCGGCACGAAACGTATTAATTGAATTAATACTCTACATTATATTGTATGTTAACTCCTTTTATTGTCTTTAACGTAGCAGGTTGAAATAAATTGTAAGAAAATTGCATCTAGTGATTCTAAGAACTATATAACGCGAGTGAATAAATCTATTATGCATGCTACGTACAAAAGTGCGTTACGTATATCTATAATAATTGCGTATTATGTTAATTATGATCCATAATTATGAGAAACATAATCAAAATAAATCCACTTCTCGATTTTTCAAATAATATCGCACTTTACAGATTGCGTTGTAAGATTCTAGTGCCGTGATTAAAATGTCAAAATTCAAGACTTTGAGTAAAAAATTTTGCTTATATGTATATTAGATTAAATTTATGAACATAATAGCAGAATGACATTACAATTTTACAGAATTACATCTCCGCCGGTTGTTGGTGTTAAAGCTATTTAATATTCCATCACAATATTTAGATCATACTTGGAATTACGATGTATTATTATAACGTTTTAAATATTAGTTAATATGGATTAATATCACTTTTTTCTAGAGATCTTTTAACTTATATATTATATCGTGATTATCATAGACTGCATATTACGTTTTTTGGAATCTTCGAGACATATGAACCGCGTAAATCGTTTTTGCAAAATCAATTAATTAATTGCCAATGAATAAACTATGATGAAATTTTGGATAATTGTTATATTTGTATTATTGTTAATTCTATTGTGTTATAAGCATAAAATATTTACTTATTTCGTGCGATTCTCACACGTGAATATAAAAAATTGTATATTTATGAATCGATATAGATCGATATAAATATATTGTATTTTAAGCAATTTTATGTAGTTATACTTTCGACATAAATTAAACGAGTCAATCTATATCTAGTTTCTTGAAACTTCCCTCGACCCCGAACAAATCCATCGTCTTGCTTTTGCCTACTCTTAATGCTTCGTTTACACGACCCGTGATTTCATCTTGTAGATACCATTCACGATGATCTTCTATCTTTTTTAATATCTCCTCCTGTTGTTCTTTCAACGGTTTAGCTTTTCCACCTAAACCTATATCGCAAGGGAATGCTTCCAGTGGCACAAACGTTGCCAGCGTGTCCTTCGTTGAGTTCGTGGGGTGAATATGTAACTGAAAATATATCGAAAATGTATTATTATACGTATGTGTATGTATATAAGACGTATTCATTAGTCATTACTATATTTAAAAAATTTAGAAATCAAATAATAATAATAATAATAATAATGTATGTTGAATCTATTTCTTTTTAGAGAAAACGTTATTATTATACTCACCGCGTACTGATCTTTTGACTCTTAATATAAATTATTTTTGGTAAACAAGTTTCAAATAAAAATTGATCCGGAATTAAGTAAAAAACAAAATCTTTTTTATTTATTTACATGCGTGGAACTCTTTTATGTTTAATGTAAAATATTTTTATTGTTCTTACCACCTCCATTAACTCTTTTTTCATAAACGGCTTCATCATCGACAAAATGATATCCATGACTGCGTTGGTGTTAATAAAGTGCAGACCTTTAAGTCTGATTGGTATAGCTTCTTGTAAATAATAAAGATATCTCTTAATCCCCATGGGACTAAGACGGCCAGCATGTGCGAAGGTAACATCTGCCATATCTATAATAATTATATGACCCTCGGCGGTCCCTTCGGTGTACAACCACAAGTCAACCACCATAGAAAAGTACTTCATGACGTCGTTATAAACAAAACGTGACGGTTCATAATCTATTAATCTCGAATAAACAAGTTTGTATCCTTCCTTCGTTGTCATTGGCAGTGTCATCGACGCCCTTTTTAAATAAATTTAATTATTTTACGCACACGTGGATTGAATTTTATTTTTATATCTAGATTTTTTATGGATATTTAAGCTCGACAGCTCCTTTTTATTTTTTTACCTTTATATTACTTATTATTTATTATAATTTTAATTTTCACTTTAGAAATGTACGAATAAAAATGAAGATATATTCAAACATATGAAACCTTATGACATGAAATATCTCAAAGTCTATTAACTGTCACCATGCACTTGGATATATTGTTAAAATATTTATTACTTGAATACGTAAACAAATTTTTAATACTCACACAACTTTGAATATCTCTCGCAATTGCTTTGTCCCAAGTGGATCCCTGTCGGAGAAAAATTCTGGCATGTGAGTCCTGGAAGTGTAATATTCTTCAATGGTGTTCTTAGCAGCCTCAATACGATAGTAATTACTGTGCAAGAACAATACGTATTCAACGTCTAAAATTTTCGGAAGATGCGACTGTTTCATGGCCCAGTCCTTTAGAATTTGTATATCGGAATCTTTCAACTCGGGATTTTTTTTCTTTTCTTCCTCGTAGGAAATCCTCTTAACCAGCGACATAGTTGACTTCACTTGTATGTAACTTTCTATTAATATAAGAAATATTTTTAACGTTTATTAAAATTAAGGAGTAATTATTCAGATTAATTGAAATGTTATCACTTTTACATAAAGATGTAATTTATGTCCTAAACAAGTTTTGGGGATATGTATGTCGATGTCGATCATGGATGATAGTGATGGAGAGCAGTGTATGGTTGGATGTAACGAGAGATGGTATGTGGAGGATGCGTCCCCAAAAATACCATGCGATTCTCTGCGAGTCGCGATGGTGCCCCACTCCACTATATGCCCGCCTAACTCTTGTCGTCCGATATTTAATATAGAAAAGATAAATGTCTTTAATTTTAAATATTTAATTCACGATATATATAGAAATTAGATTGGAGAATATTATAATATAAATAGATATTTTAGAATAATTATGTTAAAATAAGATAGAAACAGTTACCTTTTACTCAGGCGCGTATAACTCTCATGCGAGAAATTACTTGCTTGATGAACACTCGACTGGAATATGACGCGATTATTACTCACCGACTCTCAAGGTAGCACTATGCGTGACCATACGAAGATTTGCGTTTTATCCCACGAAGCTAGTATACGTGATACAGACAACAACTTAATACAGACAACATACAATTATATCTTCACTATAACTGAAATCACTAATTAAATTCTTGACAGACAGAAATTATGTTCTGATAACTTGCTATCGTTATGCATTAAGAGACATTTTTCTTGAACTTTGTTTGTCGTTGCTGCACATTGTACATTGTTATATAATTTTACCATTATGTTTTATACATAAAACAAATTGTCAACAATCGACATGCACATAGGAACGGGGATTGCAATATCGTAAATAATTATTAACAGTAAGTGAAACATGACCGTTTTACAATGTACAATCAATTAGAGAGAAAAACACCATTTACAGTCCGGATTGGATTTTACACAATTAATCAATAATAATATTGTGGGAATTTTGTACACTTTTTCCAAACTCAGTAAACCGCGCGCCGATTTTTTGTCGGTCTTTAAAAACACAGCTTTTTATTTGGACAGTAAATCCATTTAACTCCTCGTCACCCACCTGGGGTTTTTTTTTACCCCACGCACCTAAAAATGGCGATATTTTCTGGTTTTTTTCAATATTTATTTCGCTTTCAACTCCTAGATATGGTTTTTTCATACTTTATGCTAAAAGTTTTCAGCAATTTTCATTCTTAAACTGTTACAAATATTTTTTTATTGTGAAAAATATAAAACTAGGGTCAATTTTGGGTTGTATGTAATAATGTATTTTTAATGTTTTGGTGTAATTTTACAAGCATTAACCCACCGTTTAGATATAATATCATGTAAAAACTTGCATTTCATTAATTCTATGCAAGTTGTAATATGAACATGCCGAAATACGTAATTTGTGTTTCTCGTGTTCCAGCTTTATACATTCAAAGATAATGTTATGCTTTATGTTACTTTTGCTTTCAATAAAAATGTTTATACATTAAAAATCTTTTATTTATATGTCAAAATCTCTTTTCTTTTTAATATAAAATAAGGAATTATAAGCGGGGTAAAAAATGATCCCAGGTGGGTTATATGAAATTCTAAAGCTGGTGGGCAGCGAGGTTAAATCGATAACCGATTTAAATTTTGATGCTGATAAGCATATTCTTATTAAATCACTATCATTAGGCTATCAATAACATTATTCAGTCTGGACCATAAGTGGTGACAAATTTATTTCAGAATTTTGTTATAGCTCTCATTTAAATAACATAACTGTGATGTAAAATCTGATATATAGTATATATATGTATATATACATATATATGTAACGACATAAAAAAAAAGTATAATTAGTTATATAAACGAGTCACGTAAACGTTATATAAGCGGTTGTTTCAAACGTCGTGCGCGATATATTCGTTCCGATTAGTTTCCCATGGCTTGGCGCTGCAATCGGCGTGTTGACGACTGACGAGAATGATAGGGTTATGGGTGACGTTTATGATGACCCGGACGACGCCGACGTGACAGGATACCACATACGGCATACGGCACATACCGACATACCAATATCACAATTATCACATAACTGCGCGTAACCACACAGCACCGATACCGGGTTGACGGCATAAACAAGTATAAACGAAAGGGCATCGGTATTTCGCATTTGATTTGACGGCCGACGAGTTCATTTGCATTCATTTGTGTGAATTGAGTTGTGAAATACTTGCCAAGCATCATTTTCGTATGTTTGTTGTAAGGACGACAAGTATCAAATATTCGACAGTTGATGTACTATGAACCGACTGGATGATCCGCCGGGGCTCATGAAAGGCAGAAAACCATCTTTCATTGGAATGAACGGTACGTTCTTGTTCTTCGTTCTACGTTTAGCATCTCTCTATTCTAACCTATTTTTTCTCAATTATACAGCTATCTTAGTCTTTAATACGTTGTGACTGAAATAAATTTCAAAAAAATTACTTGACATAAAATATTTTTGCTTTAACCTAACCTGTCTTTAACTTATTGAGCTATGTAACAACCATCTTTATTTTTTATCTAATTGCGTATTACGTTATATCGTTACAAAGTTAATCGACGAGCTTTTCTCTCAATCTCATCTCGAAAGAAGAAAAAGAAGAATACTGCAAAATTTATATTTCAGGAGCTCCAGAGACAGATGATCAACAGCGATTACGATTTCAGGTTGAGTTAGAATTTGTGCAATGCCTCGCCAATCCAAATTATTTGAATTGTAAGCAAGAATGATCCTTCTGCATTCCTTATTTATAATTAGCTTTAAAAGAAAAACTTGTTTTATTTATGATAAATATGATTCTAGTTTTGGCACAGCGTGGCTACTTCAAAGACACAACATTTATTAATTATCTCAAGTACCTGTTATACTGGAAAGAACCGGAATATGCAAAGTATTTAAAGTACCCCATGTGCTTGTACTTCCTGGATTTATTGCAGTACGAGCACTTTAGAAGAGAAGTTGTGAATTCTCAATGTACAAAGTTTATTGACGATCAGCAGATTCTACTGTGGCAACATTATACAAGACGTCGAACAAGACTTCTGCAAACAGCTGCTGAGCAAACGCAACACACTAATTCTCAGAACAATGGCATCGCTCAACCCAAGGTTCCCTGAAATCGTACTTTCATATTTATTCTATATGTCTGAAGATGTTTTGGAGTTTACATCTCGTATGATTTTTTCAATATGGTAGTTTTTTATGGAAACCGATTGATTTAGGTTGTTGCTTGAGAGACTGTGATAACTCACAAATTTCCCCACATTTTTATCACATTTCATTAAATCATATTTCTTTCTTGTATAAATACGAATAAATTATTTATTTAAAAAATCAGGAAAATTAGAAAAAGAATATTTGGGTCGTTACAGTTTATTTTTCCCTGTTCAGTCTTATTACATTATAATTGTTATATGTGCATATCTAATAATGTAACATTTCTATAACGTGCACTGTGAACTCTCGGTAAGTGTTCGGTTCTTTAAATAATCAGCTGTATATAGAATCAGCTGTGCGAGAAAATTGTTAAGTGAAAATCAGTTTCCTCGACAATGAGCCGACGTTTATTAAATACTCAAAGATTTATGAGCGCCGTCGCTCTGTACGCATTGCGATTGAATCTGTGACTGTTTTCTTTTAGTGCTTTATGCTTCTCAAAATTGTTTTGCGAGTAAAAAGTTTGAGAATCTCCATACGCGCAACAATATCTTAAAATATAATAAAATATTCGTAACATGTTATACTTGTATTATACTATTTTTAGGTTCTTTTATTATTGCATCTCTATATGTTACTTTTGTCGATATATTTGTTTTTTTCTATGTCTGATAATAGATATCGACAAAATTAAGAAAAAAAGATTGTTCTTCTGGGTGAACGAGTTAGAAAAGAACAAGCGGATATCTCGAGCCTAGTTCGTATCAATGTCTCGTCCGGATGTATCATGATAGGCGCTAATATTTTAGATTGCTTTTTATGTATATTACATATTACGAGTAAATATTTGATGCAGGCTGTGTTCCAAAATTCACTGCAAGTGCAGGAAATCCATAGCACAACTAACGTATACTATAAATTTTCAGCGCTGGCAATGAATTTTGCAACACAGCCGCAATCGAGTATTTTGTGGACCATGGATCTCCATAACAATATGTACATACATAAAATTTTAAAAGTTATCTATCACATGTTTTTAAAACATGAATCTTGCCTCTGCCAAATTAACCTGAGTCTCTTCTTATTCTTGAACGAGAGTTCCATGTATATATGCTATCTTTTTACGCTTAATATTAAAATAAAAATAAATATTTATTGTCATAGATATGATAATGTTATCCAATTCATGTTTCTGTTTATACATATATGCAAACAACGTATAATATTTTATATAAATATATATGATATTTGTTTTATTTGTAATATAGGTAAGCTTTTAAATATTTTATATCGGCGACTATGTGACGCTTCGTACGAATAAAACGGATTGAAGATGTCCATTAAAAAGTATGGTAATTTTAATATAAAGTCGTTTTATTTTATAAATTACTCTGTATTTTTATTCTCCGTGAAATTCACCAGAATTCCATTGCCGGCATCTACCCAGTCTTCTGAAAAGAGTTTCTCCCTTAGAATTTGTCTCTCTGTCAAATCCTCTTCCTTCACGTCATTTTCTATATTGACACCATCACTCTTGCAATTATTGTTACCGATTACATTCTCCACATCTATCACTTGGTCTGGTAAAATTTTATTCAGTGTCTCTGGTAAAATCAGCGCCAACACGCCGGAGAAGAGGCACAACATTCCAACGACTAGTAACGGTATCGGAAGTGATACATGGTGCTTCTAATAAATTAAAAAAAAAATTATTTTGCATTTCTAATGATTGTGTATCGATTAGCTGATTTTGCAATAGACAAATTTTAATTCGTCGGAAATAGCACAAATTAAAAGGTAGCGTATTCTAGAAAAAAACTAGATATAATAGATAGATATAAATATAAATATTATAAATAGAAAATATATATCGAATGATAAAACTGATAAAAATGAGTAACGTACCAATAAAAGTAAATGCGGTATACTTAGACTGCCGATTTTTGCGAACACCACGCATAAACCTAAGCAGCTACCTCGTATCACTGTTGGGAATATTTCAATGGTATACAAGTAGGCGATTGAAAGGGTACTCGTGATAGTCACTCTGCCAAACAGCAACATTATCGTTTTTGCGAGATCTGAAACGAAAACCTTACATGTGCAAAAAACATCTGCAGTACTCTATGGAAAATTTAGTAAAATCTTGCAGTGACTGATAAATGTGCTGCACTAGAGAAAGCTAATATATCTTCTTTGTCTCGTAATATGTACCGGCCCATGGTGCAGTGGCGGTGGTTAAAATGATGAAAGCCGCAATTAAAATACAAACAACGCCATTGAGAGATTGATATGTGCACATTGGCAGCCGTCTACCATATCTAGATAATACAAAGTACACAAATGTATACGTCGCCATTTCGAGAGTTGCGCCCAGGGCGAACGTGATGTGCCTGTTAACTGGAAAACTTGGCGCCAGATCATCAAGTATGCTGCACGCTATTGTAGACGTCCACCTTAAATGACATCGTAGAATTGAATTTTTAAAAATATTTAAACCATTATTATATTATATAGTGTCTAAGGATAAAAGTAAATGGAGATAAAAAGGAGTAAAAAAAATTACTTTTTAAAATATTTTACCATTGACAAATCATTATAGCACCGTATTTTCTTAATATCGACGATTCGATTGCATTCTTGAATGTCGAGCTTATCTTGTTAGCGGTCTGTTTTTTAATGCTATTTCTCGTTTTCTCTTCATTTTCATTTGTTTTTTCTTTCTTTATTCTACGCAACACTACTACCTCCTCTGCGCCTTTCAGGGAAATCCCTTGATCGCTTTCCGATGGTGAGATTATCTTTGTATTTCGATCGCACTTGGAACTCGAAGGCAAATGTCTCTTGTCAAAATCTTCCGCTGAACTTGGCGTCTCTCGGCGTAATTCCACGTTGGAAAATTTGTTTTCCGACTCGATCGAATTGGCTTCTAAAGTTCTCTCTAAAATAAATTTCTTAGTATTGTATATTGAATATTGTCGAGAAAATGTATAATACGAAGTCTCTAGTGTCTCTAAATTAAAAAGAAATTAATTTTTGTATGGTATATATTTCTCTGTCATCTTCTATATAAATTTGTACGTATTTTAAAATGTGTTCATTATTTATTTATACCTATAATTTTTCGTTTATTTAATTCCGACTCGTTCAACAAATTCGTAGCTTCTTCTTGTTGATTTTCGTCAGCCCTCGCTTTCTCAAGTTCGACGCTGGTGACTCGCGACTTCCTCTCTGGTTTCATCGGCGTTGTGTTACTTTTCACGCATGCTTCTTGCACAAGAATATTCTTCGTTCGCAACCCAATGCAGCAGCTGTTATATATGGCGATTCTTTCAAGCGCCATATCGGCCTCTGTTGATTTTCCCCTAGCCAGTAGCCATCTCGGCGATTCCGGTATAATCCTGTTATACACGATATAATATGAGAGAAGAGGTTCTTTTTATATTTATTTAATGTCACTGATTTCATAAATATAATACTTGAGAGATTTTAAAATTGTGAGACGTTTTTTTAAGATATCTTGAAGATTTTTGTACTTTTGTGTCGGTTGAACTATTTTTTTCCTTTTATAGATGTTTTTTCTTTTTCTTCCGTCCTTTTCTTTTCCTTACCAAATGTACAGCACAGTGATCGCGGTAGGTACAGAAACAGCCAACTGCAAAATTCGCCAATCTGGTATCGCGTAGCTGAGTACTGCGAGCAGTACGAGACCGATCGACCAGGAAATCTGCATAATCAATGCAACGAGAGTGCGAGATCGCGCTGGAAATAGTTCCAGGGAGAGAATATATGTGGAATTCTGCAAGCCTTGAACAAATACTCCTTGAAGACCACGTAGCGCCAAAAATGCAGGATAGTTCTAAAGTTGCAAATTTTATCCTCCTTTAACATCTTTGAATTTTAATTGTTACACACACATTAGAACAAGCAACTTTGCGTATTTTGCTTCTTTTCTTTCGCTCAAATATTACACTATTACAATATTAATATTACAATATCGAATCGCGATGAATGAAAAGAATTAATAGAGAACTATCGATCGTAAATTTTATACGAAAAATCGAATGCGATAACAATCTAAGTCACTTTTTGAAGAATTTAAGAAAATTAATGTTAATTTTCCAAATCAATTTTCTCGTCTTTCTAAAAATATAATGATTGAGCTCTCAATCTGTCGAATACTCTCTCTAATATTGTGATGGAAAATTTGGTTACCTGCACAATATAGAGTGCAACCGCCATTGTGCCTTGCGCGTAAAGACATATCGCTTGGATCGGAAGTCTGCCAATACGATCAGTTAGGAGTCCAGTGATCCACGCACCCAGAAGTACTCCCGTATAATAAACGGTCGGCCCAAGAAAAGATAAGTATCGTTTCTCGCATACTAAACCCCATTCGGTGACTACGCTGTTCTCCGTAAACTCTGTCACGAAGCGATATTTGCCGGAACAGGATGTAAGCACTGGCACTTCCGGCGACGCAGAAGTTAAATTGGCAACGATCGAGGAATTTGCTGCGATTTGACAGCCAAAGCTTTTATTTGTTGAATCTTTCGTCTAGAATAACAGTTTGTTTATTATATCAAATTATTGCATTCTGCAGAGAGCGAGAGAGAGAGAGAGAGAGAGTTTTTTTAATCTTAATAATTTATATTTAGGTATCAAACAAATATATATAATAATCGAGAACAAAATATACATTTTAAATTGATTTAAAATGTTTGCTAAATATAATTTAATTTTTTTTTCTTTTTTATACTTTATATTTCTTATTTTTATGTTTATAAAAAATATAATTTATATAAAATGTTAATATATTTTTATATTTATTATTTAATACTCTTTAAATTAATCAAACGGTTCAAATTAACGTTCTATCGTTAGATTTAATTCATATGTATATATGTATATTTCACGTCACTGAATTAAAATAATAACTTTGTCTTATAAAATATCACGTTAAAATAAAAATTTCTGCGATTTTTTTTAGCTCCTTTCATACTGTTCTTACCTGACAATAAAATTTTGGTGTGTAGTTATGAAAAACCGGCAATGCGTGACTCATGGCGACGATGACATAGTTTATTCCGAGTAGCAGCACTAACACCATTTGAAAGCAGCCCACTTTAGCTTCCTCCGCATTCATCGTGAGCAACGATCTCTCCACATCAACCCCTGATAACCCAGTCGACCGAAACTGTGTCCGTCAAAAGTGCGACACGCACCGCAGTTTAAAGTCTCCGTATAATCACATTTATTTATTCCTTTACAAAGTTGGAACAAGCAATTTTAAAAGAAAAGGAACTTAGCCAAACATCTCTCCATTTGAAATGAATGTTCATTCTATTTGTGACATATTGGGGAAAAGCTTAAATTTTTTTTATAATATACAACATGTAAAATTAAGTAAATTACTTTATGTCAGGAAAATAATTTCAGAATTATTACTTGATTTATAAAAAATTTAAGAGTGAAGCAATTTAAGAAATTGTTTGTTTATAGTTTATATAAAACGGAGCGCCGAATGGAATACGACGCGAGGTTCAAACAAAGTGTCATGCACGAAGGTAAAGCATGCACTGACAGAGAGAGGATCGGCCAGGAGTTGTCTCTCTTGCAGGACGCGAGGCGTAAAGGAGGAAACTGAATGGCTATGGCGGGTGAATCAGAGGAGGACGATGGTACGGCCTATTGTTCCAATACCTGACGATATGTACTACATCGGCATGCGGTATGTATACGAGCAAACGATCTTCTGCCAATAAATAACGATCAATATTTCGTGGTTGACGCGTAACCATCACTACTGGCGAATTGTTCCTTTAATCATCTCTGCCACTATACTATTATAAATTGTATCTGATGCAAAATGCGAATAACAAAATAGAGAGAGAGAGGGTGGGAGGAAGAGAAAGAAAGAAAACGAGACGATAACGGATTACCGATTTTTCAATTTCCAAGCTGTGAGCCAGATGGAAGACATCAGATCTAATGACGCGTTCGCGATAATTGCGAATGATTGCGCGGTGAATCTCGACTCGCCGATTACGCGGTCAATTGAAATTGAAGACTCAACGTAAAAATGATTGTAAGCGCACACGTGCTAACAATATGAATTTCAGCACGAACCAGTTTCTCAAATAATGGTTATTCTCGTGGAATGTGTATGGAAAATATGCTTTAATTCCGCATGTATTCCTGCACCATGTATATAAGTACCTATATACTCTGAGCTGTTGCTCGAGTCAGATAATGTCCTAGCTGGGTCTATGAACTCCACAAACGCTTTACCGCCGTTTATATATGTATTACGTACGTATATAGCGTATGCTCCTGTCATATGTAATAGCAGAAAGACACATCGGTCGATATTGACTTTCATTGTTTCGTCGAAGTTACGTTTATTGATATACCATAATTACATATTAAGTGTCCGCTATGATCTGTGCGATTATCTTATTTTCTACGACGTTTCTTCGGAACGGAATTTGATTTGATGTATCTTTTTTAACAACCATTTATTTCGAAAGGTAATCACGTGGAAAGATGAAAATAAAACATCCCATATAAACGTAATGTATAAAATATATAAACATTATAAATATATATATATACAATAAAATTCTATATTGTGTTCCTTGTACTTTAAGATAGTAGCAAAAAGCGCGAACCAACGAGGCCTCGTGAATGTCTAATGCTACCCGTTACAATATAGCTATGTATTTTAGCAAATAACTTATTGTTAGAAGGCGTGTCATACTTATATATTGTTAGCGGCATTATCTTGATCGTAACAAGGCTCTTGAACGTAAAAGTTACTGCGGCACGACAATGACTTATACGACCGAGGTGTTTCCTTCATTTCTGGAACTGTTTGCGTATGCCAAGCTCGTTACGTCCGGTCCCGCTCGCATCCTGTCTTTCATCGGCCACTTCGGTAGTTTATCGCCAAGACAGATCGACGATCGAATCTCATTGTCAAGGAATTATCCTATCTCTCTCTCTTTCTTTGTCATCGCCATCGTCATCGTTGTTGTCGTCTTTCAATTTTAGGCATTGATCGAACGTCACAACCGATATCATCATTTACGCACGTCATTACGGAGCTTTTTTATTTTCATTCGATTGCTGATGAATGCATAATCGCTTATCAATTATACGCGCAAAATTCTGTCGGTCCAAAAACGATAAAGTAGTTTCGCTATATCGATTGAAAATAAAAACCGATAAGAATCTTTTGTCATTATGATAAAATTTTATCATCCGCGATAGTACACGTGATACTTACATATTACTTTTCATTATAATTAATTTAGTGACGAGAAGATTACAATTGCTTTTCAGCGGCTCTTCATTGTAGTTATTTCAATAAACCCGCGACATTGTATTGTTTATAGAAACTTTTTTATATCTTATCTTTTTTGCGATTATAATGCAAATCTTTAATAATCACCGCATTGGTAGTGAGTGGGTAGAAGAAAAAGAAAAAGAAACTGAAGTGAATTCACTAAAGTTATTAGAGTGTTGCTAATAATAGACATATGTTTCAAACTCAAATCGTGTTTTTTTTTTCCGAGAATAGATATCTAAAAGATAGTCGCGAAAACGATGATTAGCGGCGCGTTTTATTACGATGTGCAAAAAAATTTCGTAACACATCGCGTAATATACGGCACGAATGGATGATGCGCCAGTTAACGATCCGTGCCAGATTTCATCGGCGCTTACGATTCAGGCTAATTTCTCGTGCGTTTTCTAGCAGCATCGAGGAGCACACAGCTCCTCGGGATCTATTGCGCATCATTTTCCCGCGTATTAGGAAGCAGGCCAACAGAGTACATCAGGGTGGATAATAATCTTATTCTTATATAAGAAGAAGAAATAGAAAAATACATAAATGGAGAACTCGAGCAAACACCATCACGTAAATGTTCATACTTAATATAATAAATTAATTTAATACAGTATTAAAATATCTACAAAATTAATAAATTACTAATAAATCGACAAAAAATGTTGTATTTTAGTTTTTATCTCATATCACGTTCTATCTTAAATATATCTAGTTTTGTGGACGTACGTTCTCCGTTCTCCAAATCTCGCTATCTACTACGCTGCTCTCCATGATTACGCTAAAAATATTTTCCTCAATTCACGTTATATTTATATTAGATGATAAACTTTCTCAGGTCTAGCTAAAAAAAAGCGATCCAATTTTACTACCTACGGTTTTTGTTTGCGTAAATAGTAACGCTTTTGTCAAATAATCTTTAGATCTCATCAAAAATAAAAAATAAAAAAATTGTCAGTTAAGTACCAATAACATTAGTACAATATTTCCCAAGATTTCGCTAAACAACCTAGCTGATAAAATTTCGCCATGATTGCACTGGATAATGGTATAAGTGGTATTTGTTCAGATCTAGCGTGAAAATGCGTGATGTAGCGATAAACGCGCATGTCGGACATGGCGATGTGACGCGACGCGACGTGAAGCGAAGCGAAGCGAAGCGTCCGATGACTGGCGAGAGTGGCGAACTGGCGAGCAACCAGCAACCTTATGGCGCAAGACGCACGCGAAGCGCGAAGCCGAGCCGAGACTGGCCTGGATGCCTTTTTTTTCGTGGTGTACCGTTATCGTAGAATAACTTAGGTTCTGCGATAGTCGGTGGCGGTGGCGGTGGCGACGGCGGTGGGCATATCGACGACGCGTCGATTTCGCTTAGCCGGTTGATCGGGGGAGCGGGTCAGCGTTTCGATTATACCACGCTTCTCTTCTCTTCTCATCGCGTCACGTCGTGGTGGAAAAAGGCCGACTCTCGCGGAGACTGGCCGTTCATTCGATTTTCCCCATCCTTACATCCTCAGTTCTGTTCGGCGAACGTTGCGCGATAGATCGTTGGTCGCGCGAATGCCTCGCTCGCATACAAATACCGCGACGTCGTTTTCCTGGATAAACGCCGATCGCCATCGAGCTATCCTCCCGTCGCCGGCCGGCTCCCTTGTCGCCGGAAATCATTATCGCGCGCACCAACAAACGCAGCTGCGCAGCTATGAGAGCCCGAATAGTTTTGTTTGGAGTTTTGCTCGTTTGCACGAGCGTGAGTACAAATTTTCGCTAACTTCATTTTGTTTCTTTCTTTCAACGATTCGATTAGCCAGTCTTTGAGTTGAGTCGTCATTGGGTCGTCATCGGGCGTCATCAGTGATATAATAATATGTTGAAATTATCATTGTTATTATCATTTTACAATGTTTATGATCGACACGTAACGATTTCGTATAGTCGTAAATAAATCTGGTTTTACCAGTCGATATTGGATTTCGAGTCGTCTTACTTTATTTTCTCCTCTCGAGATTTTTTCTCTTCTCTTTAATTGCTCTTTGATATTTGATCAATATTTCAAAAATTATTTTGTAATTCGTAGATTCGGTATGCAGATAGCAGGTCGAAGAAAACGACGCAGCTATCATTGCAGAGCAAAGAGACAAACGTGGTAAATTTTATGCGACTGCTGGTGATGAGATTGGTCTTTGGGGTAGCTTCGGCAATGGGGCTGGGTGAAAATCTCTCGGGTGTCCTTGGCGGAATTTTCGTGCCTCCTGGAGCCGAGGAGTACAATGAGGATTACGGAGACGATGACTCGATCGTACCTGATATTTTCTGAATTAGATATATCTTTCAGCCTGATCGCGCTGATCCGCTGATCCTCGACGGTGGTCGACGCCGCGGCAACGATCGCGTTTCGGGAATTATGTCGATATAAAAGACATACTTAATTCTAAATAATTCTTGCAACTAAATCGTTCAAATTATGGAGAAATTATCATATTTTTTTATTAATTCCGTGTCTGAATTAAAAAAATTCAGGAAATGTGTATTTTAATTTGTTTGTTATATGAAAAGCTATTCTATTCTCTGATTCTATTTTATTGCTATTAATAAGATTCACGTTGAATGTTATTTGAATAAGTTTTATATACGAAGTATATGAAAATTGGAAAAGATAATACATAAACAAATATATATGTATATATAGTGGCTTATAATATGAATCTCTGTTGTAAAAAAAGTACGAATGAGAAAATATGACTTATCGATCGATCCTGTTGCGGAAATTGAAAAAAAGAGCGTCTTAGATCCTTCGTTAATAATTACTTCGTTAATAATGTTGCATGTTCAAAAATTCATGAATCAGAGAATGTTGCTTGTGATACGATTACCGGATTATGATTCAGTCGTGAGCGATCTGTTGGTCTTGCGCGAGAGGCTTTTTAAGTGATTTTGTGTACCGTTATCCGTCGTAATTTCGGTAGAGCTAATAGATGTGCACCGTCTATGGGTGAAAATACGAGTAGCAAATCGCTTGTTTCCGCTTTCCGTTTATCTCGTATCAAGTGAATGTAACCATCAATTCCAACGGTTCTGGTCCAGTGAAATTAGCATCTGCTAATCGCGATCGAAATCTTTTCATAAATATTTAAATAAATTTGATCGTTATATCTCTTTCGAGAGTGTTGCGAAACCAGTCTCAGATGCCTTGATATAGAATAATAATATGTTTTAGTTCATTTCACCGCTCATTAAAATGGATTGAAATGTAGAACTGGACTTACACCATACTTTCGAATTAATCAGCTCAAACGTGTAACAAAAGTAAATAGAGTGGTTTCTATAATTACTGTGAAAGCTTGTAATTATGAGGAACATTCATTCTGTATATCGATAAACGAGATGGAAAGCGCGACATTCATTATTGTTAACAAAGAACTGTAATTTACTTATTTATTTATTTATTTATTTTATTATTAAAGAATAATATTGTAGTTTAACATTACACATATAAACCTTTAGATACCGAAAAAAAAAAACAGTCATTCTGCGACATAGAATTGCGTTTTACGCTATTATTTCAATCCTAATATATGTTGACAAATTTAATTACGATTTATATTATGTATCAATGATTTGATATGATATAAAACGTACTTGATATTGTTAATGTAAAAAAAATCGAAAGTTTAACATTAAACTAATGTAACGATCGAAAATTTAACGTTAATTAAACTACAAAATATTGCATAGTTTTAGTATTATGTCTGTATAATTAGTCGCATAACAAATACAAATTATTTATACTACATTTTTCTTTACAAGATTAAATACTGACAATAAAATTTTTATTTATTAATCTTTGTATTATCTTTTTATTTTTTATACAATATACTAATATTCGATTCGTAAAATAAGCTTATCTACAATGCTTATGGCTAGTCGAGAAAATCAGTATGCGACAAACTTGCGACCGAGAAAAAAAGAAAATGTGTTGTCGTTTGACACATTTTTTTCTTCGCATGGACCTTGAGTATTTCGATGTGAATGGTTGTTTGATCACGTACAAGTTCTACTAACGGTTCGGCGTGGCGTGTGCTAATTACACAGTAAACCACCGAATAGGAATCATTGAAGCATCCGTGTAACAGTTAACGTTTCGTATATCACATGTCATTCGAATTAATTAACGTCGGTTCACATTATACACATACCGTTCACATCGCTGATCGTGACATCAATATAATATATGATAATATATACATATATGCAACATATACTATATATATATATATATATATATATATATATATATAGTATATTATAAAAATTAATATTTATATATAATTTTACAATTTAGTTGTTCCTCAAATATAATATAAATATGTTAATGAAAAGTATAATAATTCTGATTGGATTTGAGGTAGACAATAAAAAAAATCGTATTTACAGATATTTATGTAAGACGTTACTTATTAAATGGTACTTAAACGTCATCGTTATCACTGGAAAAATCGGTATTAATTTCTCCAAGATCTTGATAACAACCGTTCTTTTTTCTTATGAGATCTCCCCAGAGGACATTAGATTTGCACGCAGGGCAAGTGCCTTCGATCGGTAGGATCATCCCATCTTTGCAGAATTCTTTCGCTAGACAGATCAAGTGGACAATTAAAAGACATTTTGGTTTTACACAAGTAACAGAATCTTTCTCCATCGTACTCGAGCCGCAAAGGGAACAGAACATTGGTGAGTTTTTCCCTAGCAAGTGCGATTCTTGCGATGGAATATTATCTTCTTTTGTTCTTTGTATTTGCTTAATTTTACAACTGGTGACTTTGCCATAGCATATGGGCATGTGTAACGGTGGAGATATGTGTCCGTAATAATTCTTGGAAAATTCATAGTCCAACCATCGCACTGTCAAAGGTAGGCGGCACCAAGGCCCAATTTTCAACATCTCAGACAAGATTGTCAAACGGAAATCAAACATCTTCTGCGATGACCTCTTCTTGGGAATGTGTTTCAATCGCCTACTCACATGCGGATGTTGCCAAGCCCATTCGAACTAAAACAATGGAATGTTTATAGATATTGAAATGAGCAGTAATTCGACAAATATCACAATTTGCCCCGCCCCCTCCCCCTCTTTTTTTAAGAAAATAGAACAGAAATTGGCTCAAAACTTACTCTAAGTGCAGAAGTGCTGTTGGGAAATCCATGAACAATCAAGACCATGTTCCTAAATATAATAATTAATTATTAGAATTCAAAAAAAAAAAAGTACCTATTTTATTAATTTATTTTGCTTTATATAATTTATTATGTATAATTATATGTAAATGAGAAGGGGATAGATATTTAATTACCATGGTCCTCTCTTACTAGTTTTCCAAGCTCCACCGTGCTTCTTACCAGCATTATGTTGCTTAATCCTGCGTCTTGGATCTACGGTGTAACCAATATAAGTTCTTCCCTTGTACTTTGGATTCATACAGTACAGTAAATATACTCCAAAAAAGTGTTCTATCACTTCAGGCTCTTCTTCCATCGTTGAGCATTTCAAATTTTCATAATGTGTGAAAACTGAAACATTATACATATATGAAATTGAGCACATTCAGCAGATCTAGTTTTATTTCTATTCAACTATATTTCAACTTTTGTTTTTGCTAAATCACATTATTTATAAACTTTTATAAGGATATTGAATGTTTGTTTTTATCAATTATCTCTTGCACTTTTCAGATCTGTTATTATTAAATATATTGGCTAGAGTAAAAGAGGTGAAGAATTTTAATTGTTCATCGTTATATTCTTTCATCACTAGTGAGCATAAGGCAGCTATTAGAACATACGATTGTTCGAATCTTATATAATTTCATGTAATTTTAATAGAGAATATTAGGAATAAGGTTAATTATAAGAAATCTTCTTTCCTTTCCATTTTTATCAATTCTTATCTTATTTTTCACATTTATGTAAACATTATTGTGATGGAAATAACAAAACACTTTTAAAAACACAAAGTGTGGTATTATTAGAAGATGGAAATCTGTACATACATCGCGAATATGTCATTAGTTCCTAAATAATGACATTTTGAGTATATAATTTGCTAATTTCTGTTGCAACGCAAAACACAGAAATTATAGGTTATATTGCTTCACAACAGACCACAACAGACTAGCTACTGTACCGACTACCGACTTGAACGCGCCTAAATTTTCATTTTTATATAATATAATAATAAGAATTGTCTTTGTTAAGTTTTTAATAAATGATTTACTAATTTTCTCAGCTAGATATAAAAAATCTGTATTACAAAGATGCAATGATATATGTATAATAGTATAATACATAGATAGATTGTGATTATATATCAACTGTGAAACTTTTGCACTCCAACTGCAAACTTTGTAAAATAAATGGAGCTGGATCATGCCCCTTTTACACTTTACATCTGATTCTTCAATCGAATCTTGCAGGACTAGGATATAATCGTTCGACCAAAAGTTTCTCTTATTTTGTGTAATAAAAAATTATGTAAAAAAAATATTAGCTGAAAATTTCAGAGGAAAGTTGCAAAATAAATTATGTACAATCTCTTTTTTGCTCTCTACAGTTGTATTTGGTGACCTAGATTACAAGAAAAATATTCGGATATAACATCGCAACGTACAAGATAATTCTCAATATATAGATTAGGACTTAGGTGTCTATGCAAGATATACATAGTATTATATATAAGTATGACACAATATAGCATGATTTCGTAATATTTGATACGATATAGTCTCGCTAACAAACAACATTTAATATATTCGTTTTATTTTGTATATTTTCTGCGTTCTTTTATTTTATACACGAAGAATATTATAACGCGACATTAATCATATGTTTCCAGATATATAATATATATCTGCTTTCGTACTGTTACAGAATATAACAATAATGCGTATCATAATATCGAATGTCGCACAATCTGCTCGCGTTCTCTCGATACCTCCCGGTCTTCATCCTTCGATAATTTAATGCCAGTGGAATTGAGTCTCGTCAAGTTAATCGCTGGATGAATATGAACAGCGACGAGAGTATCGATAAGAAATCAAAACGATAGGTCAGGCTAAAAAATAATTCTAAATTCGATATTTTGTACATTTGTTACGAAATCATCCATTAAACTGTCTGTTGAATAAGTAATTTGTAGGATGTTTCGGTAAAATTTTAATCGACACGTTTGACGTGTAACCTACGTATTGTCGATTTAAATCGCGAATCGAGTTACACACATGTAACGTGTAAATCAATTAAAATTATAATCGACCGATAGAAATTCACATAAATGTAATTAGTTAAAATTCAATTTAAAATCGTACGATTAGTTCTGTAAAAAACAATCATTTCAGAATATATGTATTAAAACAAGACAAAAATGATCAATCTTGGAAACTTTGGATACTTGATGTGCGTCTCGATCATCTTCGAAGGAATCCCCTTTCTTTTCGCGACTTCCAGAAAGGACGATGATCGGATGAGACGATGATCCTGCCGATCCTGCGAGGTGTTTCCAACGGCTGTTTAATTTTATATTTCTAACAATATATCGAATTTCTTTATGGATCAACCTAATACACGTGATTGGCGACAAAAAGTGCTGCGTCTCCCGCAGCACCGGCTACGCCACCCGCATATTTGCCAAGTGCCGAGTCGCTGTTAGCCTGTTGGAAAAACAGAAAATGTACTTTTACTTGCGATACTGACTAAACGTGTTTTTTCTACAAAGCTTGTATCAAATTGCAAAATTGCGATATAACTCCAAAAAAATAAATGGATAATGTTTGATATTAATTGTAATTAAATTTCATGAATTAATATTATTAAGAAATTAATAACAAGTTTGAATAGACATTTAAGTCAATTTATATAAAATTATTTCTATTAAAGTTATATTTTTAACGCGTGTTAAGATTCTTCGACGATTCTATTAAGAAAATGAAAAAGAGTTTTGAAATATCGTACTCTCACAAATATCATCGATTATATCTTTACTATATCTCGATTACTATATCAGGAAGTAAAGGAGGATAAAAGTTTATCACGGCAAGTGGTAAGTGGTTAAAGATAAGGATTGATTCACGAGAAAAGCTATAACACACACACATAGTCACGTACGCGTTGTTTAACTATTACATATACTTACTGCCACAAGAAACGACGTGTGCGGAAAATATAAAAATTTGTTTAGTAGTTGAGGCGTGATTTGGCGTGGAGAGAGGTGTTAGCGGCTTTGCTAGAAACGCTGCCGGCAACGTATTTGCCTTGAGAGGCTGCGGTGTTTGCCTAAACAAGCGCACATTACATAAACATGCAAAAGAAATATGTAACTGTACGTAGCTTTGAGTGCTCGGACGATTATTAAAACGACAACTACAGAAAATTACTACAGAGAGACACTATTTTTCTAAAAGAAACTGCTTGTGAGTATACAAAAAGTAAAACATAGTAAGTGTAAAAGTAATTCGGAACATAAATGTTAGAAAAATAAAATAGAGATCAAAGACAGACAACTGGTAACAGTTACTACGTATAGGTGCAAAAGGTAAATAAAAAGTGAATAAGACATGAAGCAACGTCAAGTTTACATATGCACGTACAAATAAACAAAATATCTAATAATTTCGTAGTATGATTACTTACCTTGGCTCTTTTAAGCAACTCCTCTTGACCGGCAGCGATCTTGTCGGCCTTGCCTTCCCATGCACGAAGTACGGAGGCCTGGAGAGCGCGTCCATAACTGAAAGTTAATGCCCAGGGTTTTTTCGCCGGGTACTTATTAATGGCATCAAGGTTGACCGATGCCTCCTCCTCGGATTGGCCACCGCTGAGGAAAGTGATGCCAGGTACCGCTGGTGGCACGGTACGTGACAACACTGTCACCGTAGCGGCAGCGATTTCCTGAGGAGTCGCCCTCGTCGGACAACTCTGGCCTGGAGTCACCATATTACACTTTAGCAGCGTTCCTTCGAGGTATACGTGATGATCTGAAAGTGCCTGATAGCAAATGCGTATAATACATTAGAATTAGAGCGTACCTATATTACGTGTGTGATAACGAATTTAGGTGAAGCAAGACTTTTTTCGCAACTTTTTCCTCTCAACAAAGAATCGCGATACCTTATAAACGGCCGCGAGAACCTCTTCCGTGACTTGTTGACAACGGGCGAGGTCATGATCACCGTCGGGAATAACCTCAGGCTCCACGATCGGCACGATTCTGGCGCTCTGACAGGTGGAAGCGTAACGGGCCAGCACGTTGGCGTTCTCCATGATGGCGAGTTTGCTCGGGGTGTCTTTCGTGATCTTCAACACGCATCGCCACTTGGCAAAGTGGCATCCGTCCTTTTTGTACTGAATACAACGAGCTTGGAGGTCGTCGAGACCCTGGGTCGTGCATTCGTCATTCGTGCCGAAGAGCGAAGCGATGCCCTTGTCGACTTTAATGCCGGGGATGATGTTGCGTTGCTTGAGCAGTTGGACGAACGGCGTACCATCGTCGGCCTTTTGATAGAGAGTCTCATGGAAGAGGATTACTCCGGAAATGTGCTGTCCGATGACATCCTGAAGAGACAACCACGTCATCAAACGGATTTATTAAACGGTATACATGTACACGGGTATATAAATCTCCACTGCAGAGGAATTATACACGTGACTGATCTTTGGAAAAATATCTCTCAAACACTAACAATAAGTAAAGTTTTATAATAAAAGTAATATTTTACGCTATATAAATTAAATATTTAT